ATTCATAGAGAAGAATCTCACATTCGTGGATACTGATCGGGCTGTCGCATTGGGTGCATCATACGGCGGATTCATGATGAACTGGATTCAGGGCCATGAGCTTGGAAGGAAATTCAAGGCTCTGGTTACCCACGATGGTATTTTCAGCACTAAATTCTCCCTTGCGGCTGAGGAGCTGTACTTCCCTATCCATGACCTCAATGGAATCTACTGGAAGAACCCCGAAAGCTGGCTAAAGTGGGATCCCTCCGAGTTTATTAATGAATGGAAGACCCCTCACCTCGTCATCCATAGTGAACGTGACTATCGTCTTACGATCGCTGAAGGCCTTGCCCTTTTCAACGCACTTCAACTACGTGGCGTGGAGAGTGCGCTTTTGACCTTCCCAGATGAGAACCATTGGGTTATCAAGGCCGAGAACTCCTTACTTTGGCATAGGGCAGTTATCAACTGGATCAATAAATACGCGGGACTCCCTCTATGGCTTGACAAGGACGGAAATAACTGTTTCCCTGAAAGCACGACCCCACTGAAATAGAACAATGCTATGACTCTGCTATATAGCTAGAACTCTACCACAGATTTTCTGAATAGCTTTACGAGTGATGTTTTGCCTTGGTATTTGCTGGTTTACATACACACACACGGCCTTACAATTATACTAAGCAATTATTTATCAATCAGGCAAGGCAATACATGATATATATAATCTGATATTCGCAGGCATGTGCATTAGTATTTCCATCGGATGTTACTAGAGCACGTAAGAAGTGATGGAAATGTTTCCTTGACATATATGGTGTTATATACAGGCTAGCAGAAGTAAACATAGACCAAATTTAGACTGCCCGTGGATGATTGTAAACTATCAGACGACCCAAAAATAACTTTAAACCCTCGCCCTGGTTTTTGAGCCTCAGCATCTAGTGTAATGTTGTGGTGGTTTTTGTGGTGGCGGTAGTCATCATGGCTGGTCATCGATGGTGCTTGCTGGTTGATTTCGATGATGGATGTGCTTGTCTTGATGACGGTTTGTTTTGACTATTTGGGTGTGGAACGTGCTGTGAACCACAGCCCAGCCTTTCGGGAACCCCCAAAGCTTAAAAAAGCATATCTATACAGATGATATCATCACAGAGATGAGTCAGTGAAACGGTTCGAAAGGGTAAGAAATAGCTAGAGGACAATGGAAAGAGATACATACTGTTTTTGAGGGAATAGTCCCGCGCCTCCTCTCCCCCAGAATGTAGCCTGCATACACCACAAACACTCTGTGGTGTCGAACTCCACGGTGCGGTCAGTGTAGCGACGCTGGTGGAATAACAGTTAGCCAGTGATAAACTGAACATTCGAATGGGGATAAATAACATACCCTAAGGCGAAGGCAGGCTCGCCCAACGCATTTATCTTTCAGTAGGTCTCCGTGTATGCATGTCTGATCTTCGTGAACCATCGCTGGATCGTGGACCTTTTTGAGGCCAGCTCCCTGCTGATTTCGGCCTTTCTGGCCTTTCTCGCCTGTTGGGTAGCGAGATGTTGTTCGACAAATTGTTGGTATGCCACTTCGCCGAGAGTGGCTCGTATCGACTCCGCCTCCGGGGTAGAGCAAAGGTAGTCGATGAAGGTGTCCTCGGTTCTGTTGACTGATTCGGCGAGGGAACCGATCGTGGGCAGGACGTTTGTTTGCCCACTAGCAAGCGTGTACATTTGCGTGTATGCCATACTGACAGTGACAACGCGGTGTACGTGATAAGATATATGTACAGTTATATAATATCACGGGCACACGTAGTGACTGAGTGTGCGGTGGATCAGCAAGAAGGTGAAGCAAGTGGGTGTGTATGTTTGGGCGACACACACACACACGGGAGTATGGGGGAAAGAAGAAAAAAAGAAGGACGAAAAAGAGGAAGAGAGAAAGATGGGGGTTTATATAGACCTCGAGGAGGAAATGACTCAAGAAGATGTAGAATATCTGGAACTGGCGTCATTAAGTCCCCAAAAGGTTATCAAACTAGTGGTTGGCATCAAGTCACCGTCAGAATGAGGTAGAATGCCGGAGAACCGGGGAGGGTGATGGGGATAGCAGCATAGGGAGTAGAGATGTGGAGGATGGAGTAGGTGGGAGTTGGGAGAGATGTCCGGCTGAAGAATGGTAAATAGAATATTGTATTGATTAGATCTAGTAGATCCGGCGTAGTTATTGTACAGTATTATGGCGATGTAGGAAAGGTAGACACGTAGGTAATGGTAGGTGTAGGTCGTAGGCCATATAGAAGCACCGATATGGGGGAATAAAGGCCATGAAGTATTTCACATGTACACAAGACATAGCCATGCATGTCAGAGGTAGCTGTATAGCTGTATGACTGCGTAGGGGCGGTGGGCTTTGTTTTCCCTATAGACGAGGTGAGGGGAAAGTAGGCATCTCAGTACAGCAGGAGCAGAACGGCCCCGTCTCTCTATTTTTGGCCGCTCCAGACACCGTAGGCCATATATATGTAGAATATTCGGATCAAGGAGCGCCCTCGTACTTCAGTGTCATACAGAAGAGCAGGTGGTATCAGATCTGTATTGCATCGAGCACGGGAAGGTGGTCCTCTTGCCCGGCACTGAAAAGAAGAGAGGTGGTGGCACAGTTCGATAGCCTCTTAATAGTGATGCGACATGGACGCTCAGGGGTCTCAACCTTTAGCGAAGGGAGAATAAATCAAGCAATCTTTCTGCCGACATTTCCAATACCTCTTCCAACAACGCTGATAATAATATCTCTGTCGTCAGAGTCAGGAGCGTCCCTGACACCCCATCCCGCGACCCCGAGCTTGCTCAGGTCTCTCGCAAGGCGGACAACGGTTTCGTTAGAAACGACGTCTCTGCCCACCTGCAAACGTCCGACGTCCTCTGAACCCATCGACATGAGGGTGAGAATCGTTGGCGCCGCGGTCGTGGACACGCAGCCCCCCGTCGCGATCGATTCTAGCAGCTGGTAAGCACACTGCTTCCCGATATCCTCAGGTGGCTGCCCTCCAGACGGCGGTGATGCCACATCAGCAGAGTACAGACAGCCGGTCGACGACTCGGCTACGAGAGAAAGACCAAAACCAACGCCAATCTTCTTCTTCGCTGAAGGGTTGTTCCTATCTGGAGCAGGGACTAGAGGGGCAGCAGAGACATCAGAGAAGATGTAGGTATCTGACACAAAGGGATTAAGAATTCCTCTAGCGATATCGATCATACGAGCGTTATTGGTACCCGAGACGCCGGTAGAGTATGCTACACCACGGATCTTCTTTACTTTGCCGGGATTCAGGAGGTGAAGCGTCTTTGGGAGTCGAACCTGATGGCCGAACACGAGCTGAACCTCACCCCCGCCTCCCTTGCCGTTAGGTCCAGGATTCGACCTCCGCAATACCCGGAGTTCGACGTTGTTAGAGATCCCAAACTGAGCGTATAGGGGGAGTATAGCAGTCCGGACGCTATCGACAGACATGTCGCCTGACGGAGTAGAGGATGTGATGACTCCAGGGCCGGTGAAGAGGACATTAACGGGGGCCTTGGAGAAGGGTGCCAAAAGACAAAGCGGCAGCAAGAAGTAGCTCACTCCACGAGTGCATCCAGCTGGGAGTTCATGCGTCACGACGCCGCGGTTTGCACCGACTCCGGCTGCGCTTCCGGTGATAAGGCCTGGTTTGTAGAGCAGGATAGTTCCCGTGTAGGAGACTTCCAGGTGAGAGCCATTGGTGACTGCTTCCAACAGACGCAGAAAGGATATCTCATAGGGCGTCAGGCCGGGATTGAGTGAAGCAGAACGGATCTGAGAGACATGGATAGCTCGTCCGGTGATGGTTGATAGGACGAGACGGTGCGCGAGCGCTTCATGGCCGGTGAATCGGACCGGAGGTTGTGTGGTGGCCATTGTATCAAGTAGACCGGACGATCTCTTATCCCAGCATGTCTCCTCCTTTTTATCTTCTTGATCTTCTTCTCTCTTCTGTATCTTCTTATATCGTCGTCGTCAAATGTTTTTATATCAAATCTTCAAGTAGTGAAAAATCCGCCGGAGCTGGAAAAAAGTTTCGCCGAGCCGAGGGATTTTTTTCTTTTTTTTTCTTTTTCTGTCGCGGGACAAAAAAAAGCCCGAAAGGGAAAAGAAAGAAACTTGAGAGTCACATTTTGGTTTCTATGAACACGAGCAGGTTTGCGCCTTTTGACATGCGACAGCTCGAGGTGAAGAGAAGTTCACTCAGGGAGTAGCTGGGATATGTTGCCGTTAATCTATCTCTAATACAACAAGAGGTTTCCAAAGGACAAGATGTTGCCTCCAGCATTGAACATCCCGAAATGGTAACACGCGAGACCTGCTTTTTTCCTTTCAGACTCCGAGGCTGACCAGAGATCCATGTGTGCTGCTAGGCTGAAGGAGAACTCGCATCTCCTCAAACCGCCGATTAGCAATTACTGCGTCTACCACCCGTCCTCCAAGGCGACGAAGGGCTATACCGTCATGGTGGTGGGCGGCCCCAACTCTCGAACAGACTACCATATCAACACCACCCCGGAGTTTTTCTACCAGCACAAAGGCTCCATCGTGATCAAGGTGGTCGACAATTCCACCACTCCGCCTACCTTCCAGGACATCCCCGTCCACGAGGGGTCGTTGTATCTCCTACCTCCAAACACCCCGCACTCGCCGGTCAGGTTCGCGGATACGGTGGGAGTGGTGATGGAAGTGCCGCGGGCAGAGGGAGCCAAGGACACCCTGCGTTGGTACTGTAGGCAGTGCAAGAACATCGTCTGGGAGAAGAGCTTCGTCTGCACGGACTTGGGCACTCAGCTGACCGGCATCGTCGAGGACTTTGCTACTGATCAGGAGAAGAGAACGTGCAAGATCTGTGGCGCTGTGGCGCCTGTGAAATATGCTGATGGTGAGGTAGTGCAGCCTCCTCGCTTTCTTGAGGAATAGACGTGAGTTCGGCGTTTGTCGTATCGGCGTCCTGTATTGTTTTATTCGGGCTGTCTTTTCCATTCGTGGGTTCGGATGGTCGCGCGATGATCCCCACGATGCCTGTCCCTAAAGAAAAAAAAAGAGAAAGAAAATACACCTCTCCCTGCTCGCTGCCCTGACGTCAGTAATAATAACATAATAGAGAAGAACGGCTGTGGGTATACGGAGATGTGCACGAAGTCATGCATCTTACACTCGCCAACGCTGAACAGGCACTAACAATCCGGGAAGATAGCAGATGAGTAACAAATGGAAATCCGGAGAAAGAAAAAAAAAACACATCTCGCGGGATATAAGAAAGGGTGTATGATATTTGATTATAAACGCTAATAGGGGAAGTAATTATTTCTTTTGCCAGTCCTGGTACATGGAAAGAGCCCAACAAGTCCGAAAGCCCCTTGATGTGAACGAGAAACGAAATATAGAGACACAAAGGGGAAAGGAAGCCGATAATTAAGACGATAGTATAAAAAAGGAGAACCTTGCAAGGCTATTGCTAAACCAGAAGCATGTACACAGGAAGGGTATACTGTAAGGAAGTACACCAGGAGTCAGTCGCGAGGAGCAAAAAAAGATTGGACGAAGCGATGGTATAGTAGTAAATGTGTATGCAAAGAAGGTCTGGGGGTATGCTGGGCATTTTCTTTTCTTCAGTTAACATGCAGCATGGCCGTGAAGTGAATTGCCGAAAAGGAGAGAGGCCATCAAGAAAGATTTAAGAGGATATAGACCATATCGTTGGGACGTTGGCACATTTGCAACAAACAAAAAAGGAGAGACTGCGCCGAGATACACGCACAAACCGGGAGTAGATGGTAGGCAGAAGGAGAGGGACATGAAGAAGTTACTCGTCAAATGGGCAGTCGATGCTTTCATGGCCATCTCGTTCACAGAGAGCACACCACTTCGATTCGTCAATCACACCGGACGCCTTCCCGGCAACCGGAGACATGGACGACGACGGGAGGCCACCGATACCCTTGAGGCCCTCGAGAACGACATCTCTTCCCGTACGTTGCGAGCTGGGGCTGCCGGATTTTGCGGACCCGTTCGTCTCCGGAGCAGGCGAATGCTTGAAGGCCGCGAAGGTGCTGTCGATGCTATCGTGGAGCTTGCTGTCTATTGACGTCTGGACGAAGCTGGTCCTCTCTGGTGGTCCAGTCACCGAAGGGGGCTGGGCTGCCGCCCGGAGGCTTGCCGGGAGGCCGGTAGGCAGCTTGTTTCCGTTTGTTGTGCCAAACATGTTCGTGCAGGTGAGGATGTCATGGCCGCTGGTTTCGCAGATTTCACACCAGGCTGCGCTTCCCTCGTCGGTGCAAGATGATTGAGAATCGGGTTCCGGCATGGCATTAAGGCGGCGATGGGTATCGTTATTAGGGATAGCCCGGGCAGGATACTGTCCGCTGCTGCTGGCCTCGACAGGAGAGTTCTCGGTCCAGTCCCCGGGAACGACGGTGCGGTCCGAAAGGGTGTGCGCATGGGTGGGTGCATTGGGGCCGGCTCTATCACTGGCCGGCTGGGCATTCTTGTGGACTCTCAGAGGTGGAGTGGTTATGGTTCCACTTCGATTATGGGTGCGGAAAGCGTTCGTCTGAGTCTGGCCATTTTCAAGCTCTTGCTGCAGGTCACTGATCGTCTGGGTTTTCAGTTCAAGGGCAGCTTCAAGTTCCTGGATGCGCAAATCCATCTTTGACAGGTGATCGTTGGCATCATGCTCCCCGTCAGATACCCCCTTTGCCTGCCCTATACCATTCTGCTGGAGGAAAGCTTGGGATGTAGGGTCTCCTCGGCTGAGGGAGTGGATGATGGCCTTGAGCCCGCGGATCTCATCGTCCTTTTGTTCCAAATCTCTGACCGTAGGATGGTGTCTGCCCGAGCCGTCAGCCGGCGCTTCGCCATCCTGGAACGCGCTCGATGACCGTTCCCGCTCCTGCTTCAGCTCCAGGCGAGTTCTCTCAACCTCCCCGCGGAGGTATTCGACCTCACCTCTGGCCTCAGCTTCCCCACGACGAGCATCCTCGAGACCCTCTTCGAGTTCTGATACCAGCTCCTCCAGCTGTTTGAGCTGCAGGGCCACCGTCTCGACATCTTCGCCGCGAGACTGCAGCTCCCTATTTGCCTGGAGCAGCTCCTCAATCCTCTTCTCGTACACCCGCTCAGTTTCCGAGGCAGCCACTTCAAGGGTATCGAGAGTGCTCCTGAAATCCGCCCTGTGGCTATCAAACTCCGCAGTGAGAGCAGATATTTTGTCATTCTTCTCTTTCAGCTGTGCTCTGACCTGCATTGCATCCAGGCCTTCCAGCTCCGTGACACACTGCTGGAACTCTGCCAGCGTGGCGGCCTGGTCCTCTAGCTGCTTGTCACGCTCACGAAGCTGTATCTCCAGCTCCCTTGTTCGGTCAATTGTGTCTGCATCCTCGGTAGCGGGGGTCCGGACGGCGTCTTTCCGCTTTGGAGTGGTGCTTTCCATGCTTATCCTAGACGACGGCCTGCTCGTCGGTCTGCTCGACTTGAGCGGCGTGCGCGGCCGTCCGTTCATGGGGGCCACCTTTGGAACGCCAGACGGTGTGCGTAGACCGCTGATATTCAGCTTGGGCGACGGCAAGGGCGCCCCCTTGCTGGGTGAATCCGGACGAGGCAGCGAGGGCCGTCGAATCCTTGGTCTCGCAGTCGACGACAGGTTCAGGCCCGGCCCAACGGACCTGCTGAAGTTCGTAATTGCCGGACCCCTTGCAGGCGTCAGCTGCGGTGCAACCGCTCGCCTGGTAACGTACTTGGAATTGTTCATGGGCACGAAGATGCCCGAACCGGGGATCGACGTCGTAAAGTACTGTCGTCCCTCCACGTCTCCGCTGTTCTTCCCTCTGCTGGCCAGCTCTGGGGCGAGCTCAACGCCAGCAAACCTGCCCGGCTTGCCTGCCACCGGGCCCAGAAACCTCACCGTGCCGTACATCCCACCTGGCACGTTGACCAGGTCACCGACCTGCACATCGTCTGTGGCCGTCATCGTGTCAAAAACTTCTTCTTTATGGCATCAGACAGGGACAATATATCGTCTCAAATCATTGTAGAAGGTCTAAAAGGGTCTACTCCGTCCAGCTCGAGGTTCGTCAGATTCGTTGAAGCTGGGCAAAAGGAAAAACTTCGCAGGCGATCAAGGGCTCCGGCCAGGTTTGCAAGACTCGGGCAACCAAAAGGAAAAGGAGACAGATCGAAGTCCAAAGGAATGTAGGAGAAAGTCGAAAAAAGCAAAGAGAGCGACGGTAAATCCTGTGGCTTGTTGAGTCGATGAAGTTAATAGTTTGTAAAAGGATAAGAAGAAAAAGGAGCTGATGATGTTGTTTATTTTATAGCCGCCTTTCTTAAGTGGCGGATCAAGGCAAAGCACAAAACCGACCACCAAGAGCAACAAGACAGACGAAGAGAAGCAACAAGAGTCTCTTGAACGGTGAAAGTGATGAGAAGTTGTCTGGTTGACTTTGATACACACTGTTTAATGGTTGGAAGATGAAGTCGAAGTCGTGAAGAGGAGGAAAAAAGCCACCTTTTGCTCTCACAGCCACAGCCGCGCATCCCAGAAACGACATAATAAGGATCGATATTTCTGTCTCGACTTCTTCTCGACCTTTGGATACGATAGATATAGCTTTGGTTTCGATAGTGTTAACTTGGCCTGCTTGAAACCGCCGTTCGATTCGCCTTATTAGCCCGTTAGTTCTACAGCAACGACAGCAACGACAGCAACAGCTTCATCGGTCGAGACTATCAATACGATGGCGCAGTACTTCTTCGATCTCCTGTACACGTTTACAGACTGTCTCTGCTGCTTCCCGAGCTCACCGCAGTTGAAGATAAACAACCGGAGCTTCAAGCTGCTTCGTCTGCTCGGAGAGGTAGGTCATCCAACATAGCATTCAATACATGGCATTTCGACGAATCTAATGAGTTGGATACGTAGGGCGGCTTCTCCTATGTCTATCTGGTTCAAGACAAGAGCACTGATGAGCTCTTTGCGCTCAAGAAGATACGATGTCCGTTCGGTCAAGAATCCGTCTCGCTCGCCCTCAAGGAAGTCGAAGCATACAGCCTGTTCACGCCCAACCGCAACATCATCCATTCCATCGATTACTCCGTCGTAACTGAGTCCGGGTCGAAGTTCAGGTCAGACGGTGCAGACGCTGGCTCAAAGACCGTCTACATCCTTCTGCCATACTACCAGAGAGGAAACCTCCAGGACGCAATCAATGCTAATCTGGTCAATCATACCTCTTTCCCGGAGAAGGAGCTGATGGTGTTGATGCTGGGTGTCGCAAAGGCACTGAAGTGTATGCATCAGTACAAGGTGAAGGATTCGGCGTCTCGGGGGAATGGGAACGGGGCTGCAAAAAGCAAATCGAGAGCGAAGCCGACTAGACGGACGAGTCGTAGGGTTGATGACGACGACGACACGGAACAGGAGCCCCTGATGGAAGGTGAGGTTGCAATCAGCCAGGAGGGTGTGGAAGAGGGGGAATACAGACCGTATTCTCATCGAGATATCAAGCCTGGTATGTATATCCTGTTGATATACCGTACGTAGGATGTATACTGATAGTTGTAGGGAACATTATGATCGATGATGACGGCAAGACACCGATTCTTATGGATCTAGGGTCCCTCAGCCCGAGTCCCATCGCAATCACATCCCGCTCCCTCGCCATAGCTGTTCAAGATACGGCAGCCGAACACAGCACTATGCCATATCGCGCTCCAGAGCTATTCGACGTGAAGACAGGCTCCATTATCGATGAGAAAGTCGACATCTGGTCCCTTGGTTGCACATTATACGCCTGTCTCGTAGGCAAGAGCCCCTTTGAAGCTCGCAGTGAGGAAACAGGTGGCAGTCTCGCCATGTGTGTGTTGGGTGGGGACTGGCGCTTCCCTGATGAAAAGGGCGGGAATACCGATGCTGGAAAAGGGAAGGCCAGAACCCCTTCGCATGGCGATACGGCGGATGCAGACTCGTCTGGGAGCGGAGGTATAAGCCAGCCTGTAAAGGAGCTCGTCAGACGCTGTTTACGGGTTGAACCTGCAGAACGGCCTGATATCGACGAACTCATTACATTGATCAAGGAGACGATACAGCAGCTTCCTGACGATCAGGGGATGGCGTCGGGTGTCTAACTCTGCCAATATTGGCAGATGTGTTTCTACCATCATGTACTTTATTTGACGATTGTTTCTTTTGTCTGTCCACTCTCTTTTGGGCTTCCTTTCCTCAGTATGTTTTTCTATTTTTTACTTATCCTCCTTTGGTCGAGTCCACATTGGTGTTTTCTAGGGCTCATTACGCATATCGCTCAATGAATAACATTACCAGTCACACTAACAGTATCTACTTTAGTACCTTTAGTTTGGCTAAAGAAGACTCATACAAAATCGGGGAATAACCAAACGCAAGCCCTTCCCCTTCTTGCTCAATGATACACAACCGAACGAAGCACGTATAGGTCACCCTTCAAAAAACTCAGGATGCAAGGAGACAAGCTTCTGTCTAGCTTCAATAACGGCGGCCTTCACATCCGGCCTCAAGTCCCCGTCATTTGCCAACTGCGCCAATTTAGCTCCCCATAGCTGGAATTTATCGCGCCCAAGATTCATCGCGCCTTGCTTTGCGGTAAAGGCCACTACCCTATCATCAATGAAAGTTAGTGCCAGCAAAATATACTGTGCAGCAACCATTACATATGTATCTCTTTCGATTCCAGCAGGATGCTCTTCCCTCAAGCCATTGCAAATGTCGATAGATTGGTATTTGCCAGCACCTGGGAAATCGACTTCAATGCGGTGTTCCATGCAACGTGCAATAAACGATGAAATATTCACCCATTCATCGAACTGTTGCTTGACCCTCAAAGGCTCTTTTGCAAGTTGGTCTCGAGAAACATTCCCCGCTGTCAGAATTAATGCCCTGGTCAGCTTAATAAGATGGTTGGGACGAGACGATTTGAGGCGTACGAAAAGCACCACGCCAGTGGTTATCCAAACACCCAGGAAACATGCCATCAGCAGCCGCAAAGCGGTCCTCGCCCTAGAGCAATTGATATTAGGAACTGAAAAGGGAGGAAAGATAATATGGACAGCGCAGAGTATGCAAATAACATACATTCCATGCCTTTACGGGCCGTGCAGGGATATTTTGGAGCTCAAGTATTAGCTGCACCAAGACGTCCTGTCTATCGTCGTTATATGGTAGCTTTTCCGCCATATACAGAATAATTTCGTATAATATATTCTGGACTCCCCCAAGCACATCGGGGTGATATTTAAAAAGAGGCCCTGAATCAAGACTTCTGTCCCAATAGTAGGTATCGATTTTCTTTACTGCATCCGCTGCATTGCACTTGTGTGAAAGCAAATCTCTGATGATGACACCAAAATCATACTCAACGACTCCTTCTTCGCAGCCCTTGCAGGAGATCCATTCTTTGTGAAGTTCGACAAGCCATGGCTCCTCCAGTTGAGTCATGTTAGCGAAGGGTAAACGCTAGAAAAGCAAATATAACCTGAGCGGTAGTTAGAGTAAAACAGAGAACAAGACAAGGCACTGAGATATGTAGATTATTATATGTTGCTACGGATCTTCGCTGCGCCGTCTTTGTGGAGCCTCTGGAAAAGCCGCCGCCGCACGCCAATAAAGCTTAAAGGAGCCGCATTTCTATTGTCATCAATTTCGACTTTCCACCTGCTTTAGTGATATCCAATACACCCAGGAGAAGGTCTAAAAGCAGTTAAGAGTTTCCTGAGATAAAGTATATAAGAACACAGCGCTTCAATGTCACTCAAAAAGCCCAGGATGCAGGGAAACAAGCTTCTTCCTAGCCTCTACAACTGCTACCCTAACCTCTGAGTCCAGACTTCCATTCTCTGCCAGCTCTTTTAGTTTGGCTCCCCACAACTGGAGCGTATCAGAGCCAGATGGCTTGTCATGACCTCCTGGAAGCTTTATCATCGTATCATTAACAAGCGTTGGTGCCCGTAAGATATACTGTGCGGCGACCATAGCCCGCGTATCTCGCTCAAGACCAGGAGCAGAGTTATCCTCCAGGCCTTTGGGGATATCAAGAAAAGGGTATCTATCGCTGTCCGGGACATTTTTCTCGATGCGTAGTTCGATACAGCGTGCTATGAAGGACGATAGTGACACCCACTTGTCCTTCATAGCGTCGGTGGTTATTTGGTGCCCTGCCGCAGGAATGTATTACTATATATGTCTTTACTAATATAATGAGGAGTTCATACTATAAGCATCACGCCAACGGTTTGAAAGACTCTCACTGAAAAGGGAGTCCGTCACAAAGCGGTCCCCCTAAAGATGATGTCAGAATCATAAAGGCGAAGCCAGGAGGTAACGAGAACGTACGTTCCAACTCTTGATGGGTTTTGGCGGGATTCTGTGCAGTTCCAGAATGAGCTGCGCTAAGATATCTTGTCTAGTATCTTTATAGGACAGGAGCTGGGCCATGTCGAAGACAATTTCATAAAGCGCTGCCTCAACTCCGCCTACTCCATCAGGGTGGTATTTGAAGAGTGGCCCTGAGTCAAGGTTTTTACCCCAATAGTAGGTATCGACTTTCTTTGCTGCATCTGCTGGGCTAAAATTTTGCAAAAGTAAATCTTTAATGATGACAGCAAAATCATATTCGACGACTCCTTCACAGCCTTTGGAAGAGATCCACTCTTTGTGAAGTTCAGCTAGCCATGGCTCCTCTGTTCGGGCCATGATGATGGGTATAAATTGAAAAGCCAAAGAATAAAAATTATTGCAGAGATAAATAAATAGAGAAAGTGACGTTTAGTAATAAAACAGGGAGAACAGGAGACCAGTGTGTCTATAAATGTTCCATCATTGAGGCTCCCAACGTCGAGTACTTTTAGATTTCGGCTTTGCCGCCGCTGTGGAGCCGTCGCTTATATAATCGAACCTAATCTGTAAGAGCTAATTCTAGGCGTCAACTTCACCTGGCGAGCTTCACATCAACACAGCATCTCATCAACGCGCGTTCATCTCAACAGCCTCAAACCATTAATGATACCTATCAGGAAGAAAGACTGCGTTGGCTGTGGAGCTAAAGCAAATGTCCACAAAGCCAGCGAAACCATCGTGGTCAAAGTCTCTAATTCCAGTGCCCCTACGGAAGACCCCTTTTTACAAGAAGTCAAATTCTACAAACGCTTATTCGAAGAAAAAGACCGATGTCTAGATATTGTTGATTGCTTTATTGCATTACCAAACTACATTTTCCTCTCATACTGCTGCAACGATAATCTAGCACGCCGTTTCTTCAAATACCAGGAGCGAGAGATACGTCCAAACGGTCGTCCTGGAAAACTTTTAGGTATAAAGAATATAAGAACTCTACGCTTATTTCTCAATGGATATAACAACTCACCTCAGCCTTTTTTAGGTATAAAAGTGTATGAGGACCCCACACTTATTGCTCGATGGATACAACAACTCTCCTCTGCTCTTGCTTTTATGGAGAAGCTAGGATACACTCATAACGACCTACATCCACGCAACTGTCTTCTCGATGAAAATTTAAACTTAAAGTTATCTGACTTTGATCAGACTACTACTATCGGGCAGTTTCTTGAGAGCCTCATGGAACCCTGGGCTATAAAGTTGAGTTCTGGCCCACTAAGTAATACCTACGGTCTTACGTCTGCTCGCACTGAGCAGTTTGCTGTTGGTACCTTTCTTTATACGATGGTATACGGCCATGAGCCATATGAGGATATCCACCTCGAAGAAGACCCGATAGAACTAAGACGGCGATTTAGAGCTTTGGAGTTTCCGGAACTTAACCGACACGACGTCTTTGATAATTTAATATCTGCTTGCTGGTATAATGTATATCCCACTATGGCTCTTGTTGCTTATGATTTTAAGCGCAAGACTAAAGATATTGCTTCATCTTCGGATTACAAGATTGTTGACTATGTGAAAGAGAAAAATACCTGTATAGCCTTACTTCAAGGTGGCTTGCTCGGTCCTGAGTGGGCTTTATCTTATCAACCAACCTGGAGAAGATACCTACATGCCATTGTTGGAAATTTTCTCTTCATTTGGAAACGCTCGGTCAATTTCCTAGGCTCACTTTTCCGTAGGTAGCTCCGATTTGCAGCATCTAACTTCTCACTTCCCCTGTTCCATCAACGCAAGTTAATGCTGACAATCATATCCCGTTCTATTCCCTCATTCAATAAGGGACGAGTCTCACAATGTACCCGTGCTGCGACACAGCTGTGTTGATCTAGACCAGCAAGACATCGAATGAGGAGGAAATCTCATAAGATAACGGTGCCGCATGGCAACCTTTTAATACTGATCTGCTGGTGATGTCCGAGATCATCAACATTCTGGACAATTTATATGTTGTGATTGTGTTGGATTTGGATCGCCCCAAGTTCAGTGGACTGTGACTTGGGTTGGACCCACTTGACCCGCAACTTTAGTTAACTTCTGGTGGCCTGCTTGTTCAAAGCGTTCCCGCCAAACTTACTTCATCTGTGTATATCACATACCACTTTAAGGGTGCTCTCCCCTTAGATCTGGACGGGCTGCATATATGAGAACCTCTGCAATTCGATTTCCATTGTATGGAGCCTTCTACCCTGGATAGTGAAGATATAGAATAGGCTAGGATGAACAAGCTGTCTTGTAAGTTGTGATGCATCATATTACTGACAATGTGGTTAATTATCTATCTAGAGTACTTACCATGAGAGAGATTAGGCTAAGTTATACGTTCAAAAATGTTTCATGAAATACTGATAGGGGGGATTGAATCAGCATTTCCCTCCTGGACACCCAATATTTGTTCCAAGTCGCTCTCCATCTAGTCCAATTATTGTCAATATCGCATTAATCACACCTCCAATGCCTTCACCAGCCATAAACCCTGCCGCAACAGCGTAACCATATGCTTCAAACGATTTCATATTTTTCCTTTTCCAGGCCATGGTTATCACCGTACCAATAAGCATAGCCGTACCGTATTGTGTGGTAGGTATAAGAAATGCCATAGCCACAGTCATCATATTCGGATGGTAGTCACGCATCCATAGCCACTTACCTATCCACAGATTATGTCGAACTAGAACCAAGGCCGAACCTATTACAGCCATAGCTATAGAGAACTGTATGCTGGATTTAGGTACCGGAAAGTCCGGGTCTGTCACAGCTACCGCTGCAGCACGCCAGGCAGATGCAGCAGGGGCTGTAAAGGGGCAAGAAATGCTTGCAGATCCGTTGGTACTACTAGGATATTCACCACCCGAAGATAAAATGCAAGGATATGCACTAGCAAAGACAGAAAAAACAGCTGGTGCGAGGAAGACTGCGAAAAACGTTCCGACGGCTTGGGCAGCGTATTGTGTGCGAGGAGGCGTGTTGAGTAAAAATCCAACTCGAAAATCACCGGTGAGGTCTAGCATTGGTTAGTTACTTCAGGTATGTTTTCATGGAGTAAAATATCAGAGACTTACCACAGGCCTGATTAGCACCTATGCTTGAGAGAGCTCCCCCAAGTAAATTGACCCGTTGAGATCTTTCTAATGACCACTCTGGGCCACGAGTTGTGGCTCCTAGAACCAGCTGGGAAGCCTTCGATATGGCGGTCAGTGGAGCTATATCTAGCCTGGTGTAAGTATTTCATGGCATGAACCATTCGGGATCATAAGAAAAAGGGCATACCGGTTGCACCTGTTGCCTGGACGGCAATAAATGAGAAAATGAATGCGAGGAAAAGTGATAGAAGTGATGAAACTATAGGGATATCATACTGTAGTTTGCTAACTACACAAGTCAATATGAGCACAGCAATAAGCCCTGGTAGCCACATCCACTGTTTAATGTCGCCTGCCGTGGTTCGGTTCGTTTCACTCTCTAGCCCTTCCTCAGAAAGATGTTCATATTTATGCTGTTTGGATTGTAGTTGAGATATTATTTTCTGGCATCCTTTGAAAACCTCTAGCCCTGTGAGCCAGAATACTTTCCACTGGCAGGCAAGTTCTATCCGTCTGTTAGAATAATAATGTGAAAGAATTGGGGGATATTGGTACCTGTAAACCCGACAACTATCATACAAGCAACTCCTGGCCATAGCAGCCAGTATCTGGGACTTGGGTGCGTTGCATTAGCAAACTCCTTTGAAAAGGAGATGTATGATATCAACCCATCCCATTTTCTATCTTCCGATGCTGGTGTCCCAAACGCCAGTCCCAGTTTTGTAATAATTGGTCCAACAATACCCCTATAAAAAGGCCAAACTTAGACAGGGGCATAAGACAAATATGGAGTAGAAAACACATACTAGATCAACTTACCATGCTAATACTGACCCAAAAACGAAAGATAAAGAAATATTCATCCCAACTAGCATTCCGGTACCTATGAATGCCGGAGTCCATTCTATAAACCAACCCCAGCTTTGAATTGCGAACATTGTGGAAGGAAATATCCCCGAAAGCGCCAGCCAAGTGAAGATGTGCCAGTCCTGCAAGGGAATTTCTCCCAGTTAATTGATATCCCTTCGAGATAGTTAGGAGGTTCTATTACTTACCCAGAGAACACCCGGAGCATATTGAGACACAACTCTAAGCACCAGCGCAAAGATAAAAGCAAGCGCCAAAGCCACCATCTTTTGACGGGCCAACTGCGACCCTCCGGCAGCAAGATGCATGCTCGAGATTGTAATTGCAGTCGCAGAAGACGAGGGAAACACAAGATTGAGCTCCCTAGCAACTTGAAAAATAAAGAACTTGCGCACTACAAACACCATCAGCATCTTTAATATTCTTATTCAGATATATCGGGGAAATGACCTACGAGGAGTTGCAAAGAACAAACCGAAATATCCACCCGCAGCCGTGAGGATGGTGAGGCGAAAGAAGTCTTTCCAAGGGGTATCAAGCAAGTTCAACTGATACATTGCCGGGAATGCAGAAACAAAAACACTTGACAGTCCCCCAGCAGCGGTAGCAGCCGTCTGAACAATGTTATTCTCCTGTGGCCCAAAGAACCCGCCTAGCAAAGACGACGGCGGGAAATGGGACGACCATGATCTGAGGACTGCAAATCCGATAATTGACTGTCATTCGTATGATATTAGGATATACTCAAATAAGCTGAGTGGGAGAGAGTAAAACTCACTCCAAATATATTTGCTGACGCTGTCCAGCCTGCCCGGAGACCCAGGTATATGTTTGATGCATTCACCAGTGCTCCGCAGAGGATTCCGACAAGCAGAGCTCTAAAGGTCAGGATACTCTCCTTTCCAGCACTTGGAGGGCCATGGATATTGAACGGCTTAAATGGGTCTTTTGCAAAGCTATCATGAGCCGATTCGGATGAACAAGGGCCCGTACTAATCTCCTCGTCTACTTCAGGGTTGCTGGAAGAGAGTAATCTGTCCTCTTCAGCTTCATCTTCCTCAAATGTTGATTCGATGTCGTTCTCAGCTCTCTTCGACCCTTTGTTCTCTTCTGCTGAGTACCTGCATTAACGATCAGCGAAAGTCATATATTATTATAAACCAGGCTCTGTTTCATACTCTTCTAGGTGTATTCCATCGTTTCGACACTCTGTTGAAAGCCTGGGAGGTGACATGGTCGCGTATGGCCATCACCACTCTACCGCCAGACAAGGCTTCCAGGCTGACTTTGTGCACCTCTGCGAAATAGCCATGCAGCCCATATAAATACCAGTAACGACGGTGGCGTCCAATCATCTCGCCTCTGGGTCGACTAATTATTTATGTTGCTTATTGAGTCCTGGTAGCGGCCAAAGTTCGCCAAACAAAGGCGAGAGTTGGATCCAGCAGCCGAAACAGTGTCTTGGGCATCAACCGGTTTACTATAATCTCTTGGTAAGACCAGACAAAGAATTGTTATAGTGATACAGAGCAGACAGCTTGCTCGTGGATTTATAGCCTTTGCCACGATATACCTATGTACCAGGCGAGGACACGGAGAAAAGGGCGTAGTTTCATTAGTATGCAATTCCAGCGATAAGAGTATGGACAGCGTTAGAAAAGAATATCAACCAAAACGAAGATGCAATAAAAGACAGAATCGATATTAAGGGAATTATTTATAAAGCCCATAGCATTAACAGAGTACACACAAAACTGCAGCATAATACACAGTCAATCAGTCCAGAGAACAGAGAATGAAATAGGAAACAGTAGAAATAGATAGACAAAAAGGACGTTGGCTTAGGGCAAAAACACGACGGGAAAAGAGGTGGAATGGGAGCAAAAACAGCAGAATGAGGTGAAGAAGAAGAAAAAGTACAATTTTTCCGCCATCGTATTCCCGCCGGATATGTAGAAACAGAAACAAAACACTTCGATCATGGGAGGAAGAGTAGTCAGGGCTTTTTAAACGACGACATCTTCAGTGAGTGCTAGGAGCATGCATAGTGTATGTATTGCAATTTGCATAGCTAGCCAGAACAATATGAGCGTGGTCTTCACGGCTGTGGTTGTCTAGTTCATGTCTCCATGGCGTCAGCTTCCTTTGCAGGAGTGCCAGCCTCCTTCTCTTCTTTCTCCTCTGCCTCGACTTCTCTCTCCTTTTCGGTTTCGGGTTTCTCATCATCGGCGTCGACCATGGAGATGTCGCCGTCCTTGGATGGCTCCGCAGCATCTTCGTCAGCATCATCAGCCTTCTTTTCCTCGTCCTTCTTGTTTCCGGCTTTGCCCTTCTTATGTACGCCGTTGGACGTTGGCTTGTCCGCAGGAGTGGACGCCTCGCCCGCCGAAGGTATATCGGACTCTAAGAGCTGCTTCCACTTGGAGAGGATCTGGACAGACCGGCCTCGGAAGTTGTATTCTTCTTCCTTGGGGATGGTGGGCAGCTTGATGATGGCCTTGAGCACCTTGTTGATCTTGGTAGACCGTATGATGCTTACTTCGAGATCGGAGTAGGCTTCCAGCTTGTTGATGTATGTCGACATGAGCTCCATCTCAGACTCCTCCGGCGCTTGGTCACGTGTAAGGAATCCCTTTTGCAGCTTGTATCGAAGGTATAGGACTTGAAGCGGCGGTGGGTTAGCATCCAACTAATTAACAGAGGGTAGGAGAGTGCATAGTACATACTTTCTTTCTCCCGCTTTGCCTTGGCCTCCTGTGGATCGACCGGCTTCTCAGCTTCCTTTGGAGTCTCTACCTCCTCGTCGCTGGCATCGGCCTTCTTCTTAGACTTCCCCTTAGAGGTCTTTGCAGAGCTAGCAGCTTTCTTACCGCCCTTCTCGCCTGTGCCGGGAGCCTTGGGCGTAGTCAGCTTTAGTTTCGTGGCAGGCTTGGGCGTCTTTGCAGGCTGCAGTGATCCCTGGTTAGCACCGTATTTCTCCACACACATGTTGCAGCTTGCGTAACGGCAACGGTTAGACCGGGTGTATTTTTCTTTCATTGTTCTCAGCTTACCTTGTCTTGCTCTCCTTCGCTCTCCTGGTCCTTTTTGCGCTTCTTGGAGCTCTTCTTCTTCTCTCCTGCATCCTCCATCTCTTCATCATCCAGCTCATCGGCCACCTCCATGCTCTTTCGCTTTTTCTTCTCCTGCTTTGCCGCTTTTGCGGCTGCCTTGGCTTCCTTCTCCTCTATGTCTTCCTGAACCGCTCGCTCGTGGTCGGCAAGCATGGCCTTGAAGTAATCGAGGTCATGGCCCTCAGCGGCCACCTGGTAGGCAGCAATCAGGGCCTTTGACTTGTTCTTCTCTGATACGTCTTTGCAGTCTTCCGGTTTTAGGGGTGTGAGGTCGACGTTAGGAATCCAGGCACTGAAAGTAGACATAGGCGTTAGCTAAAGAGTATTACGTATAGACTTATCGTCATAGTAAAGAAAGGAAGAAGGAAGTGTATTGACTCACAATTCATTGGTGTGCATGAACATGACCGGGAAAGTTCTGTCATTCACTTTCTTGCCTCCATCACTGTAAGCCTCTGTGTATGTGCCGTCTGGACGCTTGGTGGTGACCGGACGCGTCGACAGTAGACTCGGGGGAAGCATCTCTTCGTCACAGACGACGGCAGGCCACGGGGCGTGACTCTTCATCCGAGCAAGGTAGGTCTCTCCCGGCTGCACATCCAGGTGGTATATGCGGTTCATGGATTTCTTCTTGTTCGCCTTCTTTTGTCCAGATGTGGATGTCGACTTGCGTTTGCCATTGACGGCCTTCTTGGAAGCTGATGGGGTGCCGTTTGTAGCTGTTTCGGCGGCAGCTTGGTCGGTCGTACCAGCAGCCTCGCCACCCTCCCCGCCATCAGCTTTCTCTGCAGAGGCATCTACCTCTGCGCCAGCGCTGCTTTCAGCTGGCTTCTGCTCCTCAGCGTTATCTGTAGATTCAGGTTGAGGCTTGTCGGCTGCTTCGACGGTGGGTTCCACGTCTGTTTGAAGTCGCGACTGGTTAGCTCCAAGGTTCTCAGCGGAAGGAACAAGAAAAAAAGGGGGGCCAGCAAGGAGTGCGAGGCAGAGAGGTATAGGAAGGGTAGCAGGCATTGGACTGACCAGCATCCTTGGCCACAGGCTCGGTTTCCTGCTGCTCAGGACGCGATGGCTCTGGTGTCTTGGTGGGCTCTGCGAGTGACAACAACAGACGGTTAGCTCCAGACATCACCAACGGCCAGATAGGAACGAGGCGCAGTCTTACCGGCGTCAGCCATGGCGGAGAGTAGAGGACAGACGGGCGATGGAAGGTCAATGAAGAGGGAGTGTGGTTGGCGGGCGATGGATGATGATGGGTGGATGGTCGGGTAGCCGAGGAAATTTTGTGGTTGGGGTTTTTTTTTTTTTATTTTCTGCGCAGGCCGGAGTGGATGGAGTTTTTTTGGGTGCGCGAAAAATGGCGTGAAACAGGAAAAAACGCGTTGTGTCGATTAAAAGCGCCCACGAAAACGAGCGGCGAGCAACCACAACGGCGACTTGCACTGGTAAGGTGGCAGGAATAGCAGTCTGCTGAGTGTTGAGATGGACGGGAGAGCCTGTAGGCTGTGTTTGGAGGGTGGTAGAAGTGTTCACCAGCGCTGGTCCGTCGGCCGTAGAATCCCTGTCTTGCTGGTCGACCGTCCACTTGGCGGCTCAACGAAGGGCAGAGGAGGTTGATGCCTCGTCTGCGGACCGGTAGAAGCTGTAGAAGCCGTAGAATCAGGAGAAGCAGACTGCTATCTTGCCGTCTTGCTGGACGGTCGAAGTCGAAGCAGGTCGCTGCGTCCTCAGGCTATCAAGCAAGGCCTGGAGAGACGAACCGCCAGGTCGACCAATGTCGCTGGACGTAACTCCTTGCTGAAGGACGTGGTTTTCGTCTTTCTGGAGCAGTGTTCTTCTTCTTCTTCTTTTTATTTGGCCAGTGGTATATAGATGGTGGTATAGACGGCAAGCCAGAGATGCTCGCAGCGATGGCTCTGATCAGCCAGCCAGCCAGTTACTGCTGCCGGAAGACTGGGAATATGCGAGGACAGGATCTTCCTCTGAGAACAGGCTGGACAGGCTAGAAAACAGCTCTTGAGATGCAAACGGCTCGAGAGACGAAGAAGCTCAAAAGTTCGACTTTCTCTGCTTGTAAAAAGCGATGAAACGAAAAAGCGCGAGAAGAAAAGTTGAGGCCTCGAAGGGCGCCGGTGAGTGGAAATAGCGCACTGCACTGTACAGTGGGTGGCGTTAATATAGATACTTAAGACAAGGCCGTGGCAGTAGTGAGGTACATGAAGCAGTAATTATCACGGTTAATTCGCAGTTAAGAAGATAAAAGTGACGGTAAGAGAGGATGAGACCGAGACGGCGGGAAGATGTCTACAGAGGTGATGCTACTATTCTATATCCAACTATAAATTAACTAGACTCAGTGTAAGTATCAACTCTGTAGGATGATATCTTGTTACTCTGCCTGGTATTAAGTAGATTATAATTATAGACTCGACAGACGGCATCACCATCCAGGCTGCTCAACATCATCTAGCTGAGAATAACAGTCAAGTGGCGTAGATACATTGTTACGCTGCTCGGATTTATCTAAATCCACGCCAATGACATCATGAAGTTGAACCAAAATGCAAGATGATAACCAAGATTATGAGAGTAAACACCACAAGCAACAATCCCTCCGTTCTGATGATAGAGTAGTGCTGATCGTAGTATTGCAAGCAGATGATATTCAGGGCGTGATGTTGTCTTCCGAATCACTCTATACAAGCATGCATGCATTCAGATGCACTATACCCAAGGCTCAGGCTAGGAGCATTTCCACTTCTCCCGCGCGCTCAAAAAATGTGACCAAAGCCCTTCTACAGGATAAACAGCAAGGCCTGGGCTTTGCAAAGTCGAATTCTCTCCCTCCAAAGCCGAGGAAGAGAGGAGTAACCGAGATTCGAGGGCCATACTATGCGGTATGCACAAGCCTTGTGCGCAGAGAACACTTGCTGAGTTCGGTTTACGATCTAGGTCATGGGGAAGAATTATCTCTCCGACATATTCGAAACGTAGGATGGCTGCTGTCTGTTGTCTAGATGGTCGATTTCTGACACCGGTGTAGGATGGGCGACTATGTCGATGGACTCAAGTTCTCCGGCGGTTAGTCAAGCCGGTTGAATACCTCTTGATCCACTGGGACTGATATGCCCTAGGCTCGTTCTCGCTTTTCCATGAGGCAAAATTGAAAGAGCTGATCGATATCGCTCACAATAACGGTGCATATGTTTCCACGGTACGCCGTTCAGCTAGTCAAGAGTAGCTCTTCTTGCTAAACAAGACACCAGGGTGGATGGGCAGAGCATCTCCTAACACATCCCGACAACACGTCTGTTCTGGATAGATACTTCAAAAAGTGCAAAGATCTTGGGTACGCCTGACTCTTTAGTATCAAGCAACATGAGACCATGTTCTGACGCATCTAGGTTCGATGTTGTCGAGTTATCTGCCGGTTTCCTCTCCATTCCAGAAGATGACTGGCTGCGGCTTGTTGAGAGGGTGCAGTCATACGGCTTGAAACCAAAGCCCGAGTTGGGTATCCAGTTCGGTGCCGGAGGAGGTATTATAACTCCCAGCCATATGTTATATGTAAAAAAGTCACATCTAACATGTCCATACAGACACTCAGACCAGCGAGCTCGAAGCGATCGGCACAAGTGACCCCGGCAAGCTGATCAACCTGGGGAAGAAATTCCTTGATGCCGGCGTCGAGCGTCTCATGATCGAGAGCGAAGGGATAACCGAAAACGTCACCAATTGGAGAACAGAAGTCGTTTCAGAGATCATGAAACAGTTGCCTCAGGAGAAGGTCATGTTTGAAGGTCAGCTCTCCCCTTAAATGCTCTCCCATGGCATGCTATGCTGACACTATTTTTCGTCGTCTTCGTGTATTCAGCCGCCGACCCCAAAGTGTTCAGCTGGTATATTCGTGAATTCGGCATTGACGTCAATCTCTTCGTTGACCATTCGCAGATTGTCCAGCTGAGTTGCCTGAGAAGAGGTATCTGGGGCACTGCAGACACATGGGGGAGAATTGTCTCATATAGGCCGGAGGATTGAATCCGTTAAACGGCGCTGTGAGCTTCAATCGTCCTGATGAACACAAATTTGAGACTCGTATTCATCGTTCACCGTCCAATATGGCTTCTTCGACGATCTTTTTTTTAGTATATAATGTTCAGCTGTCAAAATTAGTATTTCTCTTCCTAAAAGTTGTCTATAAAAAGGTCTCTATTTGAGATCGAAGCATCTATTATAACATTTTATACATCATGTTGCTTCCAAAAGCCTAGCTTACCACCCAAGTAAACAAAGGGAAACATAAAACGCAATAAGTATCTTCACACAGTGAAGAGAACGGGAAAGCTGCCCCCTAACATGCAATTACAGCCAATAATCTAGAAGAAGGCCTTGGGGAATCAAATGGATTTGGTTAAAATGGTCGAACACGGTTCTGGGGAAGGTAAGTTAGGGTAGGTAAGAGTAGCAGATAGTTGATTAGATAGAAAGCAGTAAGGTCTTGAAAGGTGGAATATTTATCGCGCAGTAGCTGTGGATCGGCCTTCTTCGACTGCAACTAAAACGACGACGGTTATATCATCCGGCTTGCCCCCTCTGTAGTGATCCCATGGACGGTGTCTCTGGTATTCTTTCGCGAACGGTCCATCCCGTCTAAAGTCCATGCTGGCAATCTTAGCCTCTCCAGCTATGGTAACAGCTAAAAGGGCCTGTAGAGTTTGGCCTTTCCCCTGAGGATCCTCCTCCTCAGAGGTGGGAGCGGTCTTTGCTGGCTTGATTCGTTTGCTACCAAATGTAAGGCCGCCGGGCTTTGTCAGAGCATCGAGGCTGTCTGCAGCCGAAATCCCCATGTCTGATGTCCCTGTCCACGCACCGGTGGCCATCATCCGCGCAGTCACCAGCTTTAGAACCTCTTGGTTGTTCAAGTTGTCAAACACGCCGTCTGTAGCTAAGACCAAAACATCTCCATGCTGTAACGAGCAATTGGTGATAGCTGCGTCTTGAGGCATATCTTCAAACTGTTTTCCACCAAACAGATAAGACTGCCGTCGAATTAACTCCGGAACGACTGCTAGTTGATATGGCGTATTGAAATCATGAGTTTGGGGGACGGAATAATGGTGAACGGCGGCCAGGCGGAAGAGAAGTGACCCAGAGTCACCAAGACTGGTAAAATAAAAAACTGTTAGACTAACATTCAAATGATATGCGGAACGAATACATACTTTGCAAGTTGAACTGAGCCATCATCCCTGGCTACTCCAATGCATGCTGTGCTACTCCCAGCAAATACTGCCTTGTCCAACAGTGTTTTCTCATAACCGAGTCGCATAAGGGTCATAGCCCGTAGACTCTCCGGGGAGGACTCCCAGTTCAAAGACGTTTCCGCCATATGTCCGCAGAAAGAATGTGAGAAATCCGCAGGATCAATACCCGATTCACTCCATCCTCCTACTCCGTCCGCCACTCCAAAGGCAAAGGCGTTATCGTCATAGCCTATTTTGCTAATGAAGAAGGCATCCTCCCCGCTATCAGGCCGTTTGGCCTTCCGGTCATAATAATTCGGACTCTGTATCCCTATCGCATCATGAACCTGCGGGTGGAAGTTGTAGAAATTCCTGTCCGGGCTGAATCTTCTCCCTTTTCCTGAAGACGATACCGCTAGTCGAAAGGACATTTTGGGCCGCGAAGCCAGCGGCATACCACCGTGAAACCCTCTCCTGCCTCCATTATATTGTCTTTTTATGGACGAAACTCGAGCTCGGGGGATTTGGGGCAAGGCATCGTAGAGCTCCCGGCGTTGAAGGTGAGCGAAGCTGAAGCTGGAAGCTCTGCAAGCGAGTGTCACCGCCGCCATCAGAAATATGCCGCCGTGTTTCCCGTATCCTCCCAGTCTGCGGCCGTCCAGTAGCCAGATTCTCCTCTGAGCATTTGCACAACGTAGCTGGTTGTCGAAAAATGTCCAGATTGCGCCGCTGTTTCGATGATATTAAATATATAGAAACATCAATATGAAATGCGCTAAATCCTTAGCTTCAGTGGCCAATTCTCAAGATTCAATCTCCCTGAACCCTCCTGCCAGTCTCGAGGGGGGATTTAAACTGGCCCGTAGAGTGTTGTTGTTGTGAAGTCTTGCTCGTCCAGCCGGTAAAAGAAATATTGAACTATAAAAAAAATCGCCTTCAAAGGCCAAGAAAGAATCTCACCAACAGCGAAAGCTCAAGTTCGGCTTCACTTTCTACCACTTTTGCCCTCACACAGTTTGCGCCGCCGCCAGCTCGTCAAGATATATTCGAGACAGCTTCATTTTCCGATCCGGAGGGCGAGGAATCATGCATCCCGCGCGGCGTGCCTATGTGGAGGATGCGCCGGAGGTAAGTAAAGCGCCCTGACGATACCAGCAAAGGCATGGGTAGATTGACCAATTCATTGAAAACTAATTTATGGCCTTTATTTGGAATAAACAGGATACGGACATGGGAGTAGACCTCGCAAATATTCGTACGTTATCTTTCCCTACTTGTTAATTCTAATGCGCATTCTCTGACGAACTCTTTATCTACAGCCGTGGACCATGACTACGAGTTACCATCTGCTGCCGCTGGTATAGCTCCAGAGAAAGCTTCGGCTATATTATCTCAGTTTGAACGTAAACGACGAGCGGCTGCCATTGCCGTACCTACAGACGATGGCCGGGTAAAAGCACGATTGCGGGAGTTAGGCCATCCCATTACACTTTTTGGAGAAGACTCAACGGACCGACGAGACAGACTAAGGGAAATATTAGCGGACTTAGAAGAACAGCAGGCCACTGCTGCTGGCGAAGGTGGCGCGCAAGATGTGGGTATGGGAGGAATGGAGGAAAGGGAAGAGGATCAAGACCAAGAGGAGGAGTTTTATACCGAAGGCTCGCAGGAACTACTCGAGGCACGGAGGGAGATTGCGAGGTACTCATTACCCAGGGCCAAAGCGAGAATAGATCGACAAAAAGCCGAGTCCACTATACCTCTCAGAGTACACGTAAAGCACAGGAAAGCAATAAGGGAGAAGCTGGGCAACTTTGAGCTGTATGGCTCTCAGATTGCGGGAGACAGGCCCGTTAGCATCACCAGGTTCTCTCCAAATGGTGAAATATTGGCTGCGGGGAATTGGAGTGGAGGTGTCAAGCTTCTTACGATCCCAAACCTGGAAGAAAAGGCGAATTTACGAGGCCATACAGATCGAATTGGCGGGATCTCATGGTTTCCTGGGGCTACATTACCCGAATCGAATATTTCTGAATCCTCCTTGAATCTCGCCACAGGAGGGGCTGAAGGGAGTATCAGACTTTGGTCCCTCGATAAGGATACATCGATTGGAACCCTTTCTGGTCACTCTGACCGTGTCTGTCGCGTTGAGTTCCACCCATCAGGGCAGTATCTTGCCTCTGCGTCTTTTGATACCACCTGGAGACTGTGGGATGTGCGGACAAACCAGGAGCTCCTTTTACAGGAAGGACATTCTCGCGGAGTTTACGCGCTAGGATTCAACACTGACGGTTCTCTCCTAGCTAGCGGTGGGCTCGACAGTATCGGACGCATATGGGATCTTCGTACCGGCCGAACAGTTATGATCCTAGAAGGGCATATTCGCGAGATATATGCACTGGATTGGGGAGTTGATGGGCACCGTATCCTATCCGGATCAGGAGACGGCTGGGTCAAGTGCTGGGACCTCCGGCAGGTTCGAGGTACTGGGGGTGTAGGGGCGCATAAGAGCGTTGTGTCTGATTTAAGATGGTATAAGGGCAGTGACTCCGTTTCTCTCCTACCAACGACTTCCGTGCAGGAACAAAATGGAGATATGATGGATGTGACGCCTACGCCAACTACAGACCAGCCAGCACAGCCTCCTCAACCCAAAAAATCGGGAACTTTCTTCGTTTCCAGTGGATTTGACAAGAACGTCAACATCTTTAGCGCGGATGACTGGTCACTGGTGAAGTCGCTCCAGGGTCACTCTGGAAACGTCCTCAGTGCCGACGTCAGTGCGGACGCAAAGTGGATCGCCAGTTGTGGGCACGATCGCACGGTGAAGTTATGGGGCCTTGAATAGTCCTTATTTCGAGGAGTTCAATCTGTATACGATGCTTAAAAGCAAAACTCCCCGTGCGACCTGATGATAATGATGGACAAAATATTTGTCAATAGCCTTTGCAAGTGGCTGATATACCATCCTCTCCTGCACAGAAGTATGAACGCCGGCGATTGCCATTTGCCAGCTCGGTAGCTCGCATTAATCTCTTCGCCAGCATCACCGTAATGTCCAGTTGTATCTGGCCATTTAACTGATGATAGTTGGAAATATGGTAGCCTTCACTCTACACAATTCATTTCCACTCTCCCTCGTTTTGCCTAATTTACTACTAGGCTCTACGGAGTAGGTATACTGCGAAATCAATATCGCCTGCGCATTGAGATATAAAATCAAGATATACAAAGGAGCATAAATTCCGGAACTGTATGCAGAGTAATGCTGATAGATGGATTTTCTTTCTAAGAATATATTATGTATTCAGCCACAATGAACACCCGACCTGTAGTCTTCTACATTTCTTAAAAGGCCTGTGATAGATATTGAAAGAGCTCTCAGCGGTTATGGATCGTGTTATACGCGCGGATCGCCTAATGCGGCCCGTTCCGTCAACTCTATCTTTACGTCCTTAAAAATTGGGGAAAGACATAGGCGTAACTAGCTTGCGCAGCGTTTCTCGCCGATTACTCTCTTGTTCACCGCTAGAGGGTATAGATGAAACCGTTGCTATGTCATTATACTACATGGACCTTTCCTCGGAATTAGTTATTCATTCCGGAACCGTTGATAATAGAATGACTCTGAAAGAGGATTCTGGGGACTTGCCTCCCAAATAATATATATGAAATCTATATAGAAAGGAGCATCATGGATAGCGAATACTCAAGTGAAGAGTCAATTAAACAGTGAAAAAAAAAAGATGTCATTGCAAACTGGTATTTCCGTTTCTGTCATGCCTGCCATTTGATTTTAGCATTTGTCCTCGCACAGTAACTACAGCCGAGGCTGATATGTGCATCATTCCACAGTGTCACATAGTCTTCGTTGGGATGCTGTATGAGTAGTTCCCGTCTGGAAATCTCCTCGATTGCTGGCCCAATCCATATTTCAGTCATTAACGGCGGATAGTGGCAATCACCGCTCAAGGCATCAAACACCTTTAGTGCTTTGGCGTCGTTCCTATACATGTCCCAATCCAACTGCGTTTTACGCATAAACTCCTTTCTCATCGCGCGCTGATTGCTTCCGCCCTTTTCAGCGGCAAAAAATTCGGTCACTCGTTCTAGGCCTGATGTTGACAGGAGCATAATGATGAATTTCTCGCAGGATGTCCTGACAGGAGTCTCTGCCACAAGTACCCGGTGAAGTGAAAAGATTAGTAGTCGTATACAGTGGTGAGCAGATATTAGCGCGCGAGAGTCGACAAAGGGGTAAACTTGGAGGATCTTGGTTTGAAGCGCTCGATACATAATTGAGCGGTCACGAGGTTGGACTGGAACCGGCAGCTTTCCGGCCTCGTACGCTTCATAAAGAGATTCTTGAAGCTCAAGTCGGGCCTCATCGTACTTTTTGAGAAAGTACATGGTATAAAACCTATTGGAGGGGTTAGAATTCACATTTCTGCATATCGAAGTCACGGGAATATGACTTGCATTAGTGGAGTAAGCTTTGACTGAAGAAGGGCGCTGCCACGCTCCATAATCTTTTGCTGTGTTTGCTTCGGGAGGTGGGATACAGTCTTCACCCAGGCAGGGTTCTCCTCCATGAATCGATCTAGAACATGATCTGCAAGGTAATACGATAATTTCGAGCAGACTTCCTGTCTCCGTCGTAAATCCGCAAGGTATCTAAACGAATAACGCTCCCGACGACTTAAATCATCCGTGAAAGGTGGGAATAGATCGGAAAGAAGTATCACATCATCTTCGGGTGCCCGTGTGTAATGGCTAGGCTTATGGTGCCGCGATGGCAAGGTGCCATGCCGTCGAATACGCAAGTACTCTCTTGTGATAGCCTCTTCATGAATCTGCAGCAGATACCAAAATTTCCGGCACACAAGAAGCAAGCTTCCTAGATCCTGGAGTCGGCAGAGGCCAAATATATTCACTACCAATTCGACTGGAAGTTCATCCCAGCATGAAAATGGCTTGCCTCTATTTCTATAACGGCTGTCAGAAAAATAATCCATGTATTCAACCCTTTCTCCCATGCCATGGGAGATAATATATGAAACATTTGCAACGGAAAGGGCTCATACGGAGGTTGGGTATTCTGTTGTATCACTCCGCTATGGCTCTTCCTCAGCCACGCTAGCTTCGCTAGGCTCGCCTTCTCGAAAGCAGATATGGACTTGCGAGCTCTTAACTCGAATGAAGCAGCCATCAGTCAACTGGCGGTGAAAGGTCGTGTATGCGCACTGCTTTGGAGGTAGAAGAGCAGGAGAGGGATATAACAACGGCCTTTTTGGAGCCCCTACACTTTTCCTTGATGAAACTCCATGGTGTCAAAGCGAATCTCGCCTCCTAAAGGTCTTTAAATCCTGCTAACCTGGCAGGCCTGAGACAGCTGGTTGGACGTTGGGCTGTGGGGTTGTTTGGGAAGGCCAGGCCGTATCGTACCGAAACACATTTACGCCAACCTTTTTTCCCTTGCACAGCCACCAGAAGGCGAAAGAGAAAAGAGAAAGATTCCAGCTAAGGAGTGGTTGAGAGCATCATTTATTCGTCAAAATTTCTGGATTATAAGGCGGACGGTGTTGGAGAGCGTTTAATTATCGTATGGAGACCAATAATAATAATTCTTATGAGATATTCTTGTAAAACCTCCTATCGACCAATCTAAAAAGAAATATTCTAGACCAATGAAAAAATAGGTAGAAAAAGAACTTACGTCATATAAAATGTCACGATACATGCGAAATACTCTGCGAAATAAAGATGTTTCAAGATCTGAGGACTTTCATGTTGAAACGGAGCAGGTGGCTTGAGGCCCAGCCTTTGCATAGACTCGAAGCCTGACGCAGGGTTGCTGTTCTGCCATTATTTAGATTCATTGGGTGGAGCTTCAACTTGGGGATGAGCCTGGGGGAGCGCATACAGCTCAGGGGAATAACTCTGGGATACAGTCAAATTCCTGTTGCCGCATTATCACTGCAGGACCCTGACACACAGTCAGAAACCCCAAGTACGGAACTATGTGATAGCTCACTCTTTGCACTCCGTACTGGGTAAGCTGACAGGTGTAGTCGTCTTTTTTAGCTATTAGCACTAACCGGGTTCAGGCTCCATACTAAATATAGGCAGCCTCGTATTAAGAGAGCTGGTTTATTTCTGCCTAGATATTATGATGGCTTTTACAGGCCAGTAATATAGGAGTGCCTGAATTCCTGGATACTCTCCAAAATATGCCTCTTAACAGGCGCCTAGAGCGGGTAGTTTTATGTACTTTCAGTGACGAGATTACATATATTGTAATTGGCATGGTGTTGAGACGGTGTAAAGGTTCAATATAATGCTCTCAATACGAAAAGGGTTGATCTTTGAGGCTGACGACGGGTTGGTAGAAATGAGTACAGGCATATGGTAAACTTGGACGATGGGGATGACTTGGGGTATTCCATGGGCACAGAGTAAGTTCATGATGCTGCATTATTGGTCGCCGACATGTTCAGTGGCTTTATCATATCGACAATCATCTTCAGAAGACATACAGGAACCCGTCCTTGATATGGTTAGCGACGGGCCGGAGTCAATGCTGAAATGCTGTAGCGTCCATGGATCCGTTAGTTCAAGTTAAATAGAGTCAAGAATGATGATGGTTACCTGTTGATTTTCCTTTAGCTGGATTTATATCCGAAAAAATATCTTGGACGATCCCGGCAGCCTCAAGGAAACGATTAGCTAGATTTTAGAGACTAGTTATATAAGAATCTTGATACATCTGAGAAAGTAAAGATTATGGGTATAGATGTAATCTTGGCACCATGCAGCGGAAAGCATTAAAGCCTGGATATGCGCCTTTGTAACATCTTGAACATCATCCCAGTATGGGAAGTCATCATATAACAGCGGCGCATTCCCTGATGCAGTCCTCAGATCAAACTAATGTTGAGGTCAGACTACCAGCACCTTTTTCCAAAGGCAGAATGAAAGGGCCCCCGAATGAATGTGGGTAATATTGTGGTTAGAGACCATGTGTGCTGATTTTTCCTATAGGGTTTCCATGCTGCTCTCAAGCTTCCTGGGCAGAATCCACATTTTGGTTCAAATGCAACCTTGAACGGCGTGATCGAAAGCACCGCTTGCAGTCATGTCTGGTACAATTAATTTCTAGTTTTCCGCTATCGCCAGAGATTTGAATGTATTTTGTAGCTTTGGGGCTATTATAAATGACTGGATCGTTCCACTCACACGAGTATTGGGGTAGGAGGACAGAAGCTGTGATACAACATGCTGTGTCACATGTCCATTGGCACCGGCGACAACAACCAGGTCAGAATCCATAATAACCATAACTAATGTTGTATTCTCGTTTTAGAGAATGCATTTAGATCTGATGAAGTCTGGTGAACGCTGCAGGGCATAATCCCAGCAACATTGCAGTGTAGTACCAGGCCAGAAACCTGGTATTGACCATGCAATAGCTAACCTGGGTATCTTTTAGATTCGAAGCAATATCCAAATTCAACGTGTGTTGATATCTGGTAAATCCGGATTAAAAGGCCAGGAGATGTCAGTCTGTCTATTCGAGTTAATATCTAGAGGAAGTTTCCACTGTATATACCCACTCTGGTCGGCGACGACGCACTCCGGGACGGATAAACTATTTTACATAATAAACTCATTACATAATATAGGCCCGGCTGTGATTACAAATCCAACTATCTTATCTTATCAGATTTTTCAGGCGCCCATCAGATAAAAAACGCTTTCAAATTCATCTCAAGCCAATAAAAAACGCTTTCAAATTCATCTCAAGCCAAAATAACAACATCACCATCAACAAACACACCCCCTCTAGCACTCTAGCTTGAGGCGTACATTGGTCTTTAAGTACAGTATTTCATGCTTTTATTCAGCATGCACAAGTCTATTCCCTCTGTCGCCGTCTTTCGGCATATCAGCTCACCATCGTCTCAACGACCATTAAGCCAAACTGTGACAAGAGTTGCCCGAAGCGGCAAGAAACTATGTCTTCTCTGTCAATGTCAATCATATGGACGGCTCTCCTTCTCTCAGTACCGCCAATTCTACACTTCACCCTTTTTAGCATTTAGAACCTCGCTTCTAAATTCTTCTCCCCAACCAGCCCAACCTGTCTCACAGTCGGCGACATCAGCAGATCCATCATCAAACTCTACGATAATAACGCCTGATATTACGACTCATTATACTATATTCCCCAAAACTCTACCTAACGGCCCTCCGCCAACGGGTCCTTTTGACATATCGCTGCAAGAACTCCGACGCGAGTTCCTTTCCCTTCAAGGTCTTGCACATCCGGACAAGTTTCCGGAAGGACCGTCGAAACGAAAGGCAGAAGCACTCTCGTCCCGGATCAACGAAGCCTACCGTGCGCTAGGTGATCCGTTGGCTCGCGCGCAGTACCTGCTGGCATCCCAACACGACATCGACGTTACAGCCGAAGATGGCGCAAATAAACACCCGCAGAGCCCAGAAACGCTGATGCAGGTGATGGAGGTGCAGGAGGCAGTTGAAGAGGCAGAGGATGAGAGCGTCATCTCCGAGCTAAAGGTGGAGAATGAGGAGAGGATTGCGCAGACAGTCGGTGAAATGGGGCAGGCGTTTGAGTCGGGCGATATTGACAGCGCTACAAAGCTATGCTCGAAGCTAAAATTCTGGTACACGATTCGAGATGGACTGAGAGAATGGGAACCAGGCACTAAGAGCGTCAGGCTGGTGCACTGATAAGCTGCGCAGCACCTTGACTGTATATGATATATATGGGGTAAATGTATGGAGCCGGTCTGTAAATATGTAATTTGGCTAGCATGTATCTGTATGTATAGAATAGAAATATCAATACCATTTGTTAGGTTTATGCTTTCAACTTGTTCATCGTTAAAACCTATCAATGTCGGGTGTTAAAGAGTATGACGTTATGATTAATTGTTTATAACTTCAACTCTTCTACATCTCAATTCCATCAACTCTCCAAACTCCGTCAACTCTTTGGCTGTGGGAAGATTACGACAGACAAGTTACAGTAAAGGTAACAATAACGAAACAGGCTGGCCAGGCCCTCCTGGTATGATGAACCACTTTTTACCCAGGGTGGCCTCAGACAAAATATCCACCTTCTGCGAGGCGTTCATCAGTATTTATACCCAATTATCCAGCATCACCCACAAAATGGACCCGATGCGAGCTTCGAGCTAACTCATTTCTTACTTATAACTTGACCTTTCGCCCGTCAGCGTTTCGAGAAGCTCATAGCCCTCGAGTTGGCCAAGATACGGCAAGGTATGGCTGCAGCAATAGCGCGCCCATTGGGCACTCATCCGTTAACTAGTGGATTGACACCGCAAGTCTGTCCATCTCCGGCCATGCATGGCCTCTGCTACAAAAATAGAGGCGAGGTTCGCATCACTGTGGGTTTTGCGGGAAGCCCTGCCAGCCTGAGACTCGCATCTGCAGCCTCAAGCCCGGTTCGAGATGGCTTTCTCCATCGCTGACTTCCGTGTTAAGAGCTACACGTAGGCTGGGGCGGCAGACGGCCACTCATGCAGGGAGCAAAAGTAACTTCAGCGATGTTTTATGCGCCTACCTTGCGGTATTCGCGCCGGCTCCAGGGGGCCATGACTCGAAGCCTTGTATAAGAAGGGGGAAAGTCGCCGCTGCATGCTTTCTTTTCTTACCAAAAATTATCGCCTGACAGATTTTTTTTTTGGTCGGATTTGTGCGATAATCACTCAAGTTGACAATTTGCTTGCCCTTCTCTGGAATTTCAATCATTTGAGTTGGAGAGTTTGCGCTCTCTACAAACATTTGCGCAAATGGCTACCGTTCCAGGCCCAGATTACAGAAGGTACGCTTTAATTGCAGTCGACGGTTGAGCCGTCCATGGAAATCTACACGAGGATATCGGTCGCTGCAATAACGGCAACATTTCCTACCGTCCTTGAAAAGAAAGGACTTCTCTATACACTGTATACGGGAAGGCACCTACATACCAAATGGAACAATCCGCTGACCAGCCCTGGCCTTTTTCTGGATAAACAGTATCATCAACTCTCCGCAGTTTACCTTCCTGATTGGACCCGGCCACTCGAAGGTCACAATCCAGTCCGGACTCGCTAAACATGTCTCCCCGCGGCTCGATGGGCTGATGAACAATGGCCATACTCGTGAATCCAGACATCGCATCGCAGTTCTGGAGGACGAAGACGTGGAGACCTTTACCGGTTTCTGCGAGTTTGCGTATACAGGCGATTATACAGTCCCAAACCGTGAGACAAGATACGAGCAAGCAGACAACTCGGAATACGGAGAGTCCTGCTCTCCAGTCGCACATCCACATATACCGCCACCTGCACCCTCACCCCCGTCTTCTCCAAAAGAACTACGGCCAGAGGACACCTGCGCCATCTGGGATGATGACGATGATCTCCCGAAGGTAGAGCCTGCTCAATCCCAAGCCCTTGTTGTAAAAGAAGATCCTCCACCGCAACCGCAAGAGGAAGAGGAGGAGCCAAAAGACGCCACCGATTCTGGGAAAAAGGGGAAAAAGAGCAAGAAAGACAAAAAGGCAAAGAAAAAGGCAGTTGAAGAGCGTCCTGCCGCAAACACACTGACTCCCCCCAAAACTCCGCCACCAGTTGAAAACAAAGACGAAGTCAAAGCCCCCGTAGCTGAAGAAAAACAGAACGAGTTGGCCCCAGCAGTGGTGCCGGTGCAGCCTGAAGAAAAACCGGTAGAGAACCTGGAAGAGAATGCAGACTCTGGGGATTGGTTTGAATATCAACCTCCCCAAGGAGATTCATTCATTGAGACCTCCAAGTCCGAAGGCTCAGTAAAAGAAGGCTCAGTAAAAGAAGACTCTTTCCTCCCCCTACCCTCTTCCCGACCTGCTGGAGTATCTCTCTGGGACGAATTTACCGCTATTCAGTATCCACAACACGAACGCCGGGCTAGCCCATCAAACCATTCATCAACAAGCGAGTCCCATGTCCCTTACATCTTATACCATGCAAAAATCTACGTCTTCGCCTCCCGCTACCTCGTTCCAGCCCTTGCTCAACTCGCGCTAGCAAAACTTCATCGAGAATTGGTCTCGTTTCCCCTAAGAACTTCGAATGCATCCTGTCACGGCCATGGGGACAACAGCACCATCCCCTATGTACTAGAATTGCTACACTATACGTTTAAGAACACCAAGTCCTATGATCCGAGATTCCCTTCCCTAGACGCCAGTGCAGAAGCCCCAACTGAAAGAGAGAACCGTCTTCGCAAGCTTACTACTCATTATGTTGCTTGCAAAGTGAGGCAACTGGCTACTTATCGGCCTGACGGCTATCATGCAGAAACAGGGGGAGCACCGCTCACTTTCCGCGACCTCCTGAACAAGACAGGGGAATTGGCTTCGAACCTTGTCTTCCAACTGATGTAAATGGACTATATTTGACCTTTTTTGCCTTTTTTTTGTTGTTTTTGGGCGTAAGGTTCTGATTACAATTCCCGTTTTTTATTGTTTCTAAAATATCCCTTTAAGCCAGCTTGTCTTGAGTATTTCATGTCCATGTATGTGCCTTATGTTGGAGTTTTGTGACCCTTCTAGATGTACGCTTTATGAGTCGATATGCCCCTAATGCTAGTTACCAATGGGAGTACGTTTCAACCTACTGCATGCATGACGGATATTTGACTGCAAGCCTATGAAAGCTGATACTGAGAATATAAGAGTGGAGTATAAACCGATGGCTAGACAGCCTAGACCTTCAGGTAGCACTGCTAAAAAAAGTACTCGGGAGGGCCTGGGGCGAGGAAATTTGGCTGGAAATGGATATATGCAGGAGAGAGGGGTTTATAATGGAGTTGATTGTTTGAGGATGAGTTGTTAATTGCTGGGTCTGATTGGGGACAATACACAAGACGCATGTATACAGAAGGAGGAATGTCATGTATCAAGTACTAAATTGGAGAAATATATATGGCAAAAATGAAAGGGCTAGATATAGTGATATATGAAATATGATCTCGTTAAACAAGTGTCGGTCAGGAATGGACAACAAGAAAGAAAGGTTGACGTAGAGAAATGCTGTCTATACGTGATTATCCTAGTTGGTGTGATTGCGCTGGGCCATACCGAGTGCAAAGGGCTGAGAGACAGAGAAAGGAGAAACCAAAGCAAACTATGGGCACAAGAAAGGTCAATTCAGACGGGTATGGAAAAGATTCTCAACGATGGAATGGGGCGGGCAAAAAGTTGAGACACAAATGAAAAGCAATGGGTTAGGCAGCGACATGGATCCAAGGTGCATTTGAACAACTCTTTACTGGTAAAATTTGTAAGAATGAGGTATTGCCTAAACCAGGGATTAAGAGACTTTATTAGGGAAGTGAAGGCGGTGGGAGGTAAGGATGAGCAATGATATCGTTATTCTTTGTGGAGTCATTCGTAAGTAGATCAAAAATTCAAATGGATTGGATCATTCTAGGCAAAACCAAATGGATTGGATGGCGCTAAGGATTGGTTAGCCAAGGGAGATCTTTTATATCGCATATAACCAAGGATCGAGTTGACTTACTTGCTTGAGCAAGATTTGCTTTTCCTGTTGGCTGCGGCATGATTTTCTTTGCAGTATCTTTGTGGACACCGAAGCGTACAGGAGGGGCCGGGCCTGTTTTCTGAGGTAGGAGTGGTGCAGCAGCTGGCTGTTGAGGAATTGGCGGCGGTGAAGGTGTGAAGCTTGGATTGATCCCAAACCCATTCACGCCTGTGCGTTGGGGCTGTAAGGGAGCGGGGAGAACAGAATTGATAGACCCCGTTGGCAAAGGCGGTGGTTGTTGCTGTCCGAATTGGGGGTAGCCTGTGGGCTGAGGAGCCAAAGCCGGGAATTGCTGCTGCTGTGCAGGAGAACTTGTCTGGAATGGTTGTTGGCCACCCATGAATTGCTGGGATGAATTCACGAAAGGCTGCTGCTGCGGCATCTGAGGGCCAAACTGGCCAATCATTCCTGGAATTTGAGAAGGAAATCCAGTAGGCTGCGACATCAACGGCTGTTGCTGCTGGAATCGTTGCTGGTTGAGTTCTGCTAGACTGTGACCTGGCGGGCGATATGTGGCGCGGTGGACGGGATGCCAGTGAGTGGGGCTGTAACGGCTGTGTTCCAAAGCCGTTTGGCCCTGGAGGTATTAGTGCGGAGAGTGGTCGAGGTGGTGGAGGAGGGGTCAGGAATCCCTGGGTAGCTGTTGTGGCAGGAGGTTGTGACGTTGTCGAGGCGGCATGGCGGTTTGCTGAGGCTGTATTTGTTGCACATATCCAGTTATTTGCGGAGCAAGAGTCTGCATCTGAGGCTGACCGAGCTGTGTGAAGAACTGCGGATTTGCACCTGGTTTCTGTGGTTGTGCTACTTGCTGTACCTGGGGAGCTGGTGGCTGCGTGATAGCAGGTTCAGGCGGCTTGGTCGCTGGGGCTGGAGCGGTTTTCGTGGGCTCTAGGGGTGTCTGGAGAAGCGACAGGTCTGCCATTGCGCCTGTCAACGCTGGCTGGCTTGGAGCAGCAGCTGGAGCAGCAGCTGGTGCAGAGGACGGTGCTGAGGCTGATGTTTTAGTTGGAGTTTTAACTTCCCACGCGTCATCCTCAAAGCCTGCTGGGCCGTTTTTCTCCTTCTCTGTTGATGAACCTTTGCCTTCAGCGGGTTCTGACTTACCCTTGGGAGCAAAGGCCTTGGGATCAACGACATCGTTGGTTTGAGATGCTGGAGCAGGGCGTCCTTTGCGGGTATTATTCCGTAACGCACCGCCAGGACCAGAGAAGAGGCCTCCGCTGGCAGGTTCTTCATCACCGTCCGCAAAAGTAACATTTCTGCTTCCCTTGGCCTTCCGCTTGTATTTCTCGTCGACATATTTCATCACTCGTATTATATCACCTTCCTTCAAGCCTAAGGTACGGAGCACATCGGATGTAATATCTGGAATGACTGATTCATCCATCGAATCCTTGGTAAAATTGCTGGCATAGCGTTCGCACTGATGTGGTCCTACTCCAGCTCTTAAGAAGAAGTCGAACCAGTCGTATTCGGGATCCTTTTTCACTGAAGCACCAACAACCTTTCGATCGTTCCCCATTTGACTACGGCGGCGGATATCAGATAGAGGTTTATCTTCGTCAAGAGACTCACCAGTAACCTTTTCAACGTATTCCAGATCTTCAATGGACATCTTGGACACAGGAACAGCAATTTTCACGCCGTTTTGCTTGTGCAGGTGCATTTTGCCGTCCGCAAGGCCAATGAATTCTGCAACCACAGTGAAGGTGCCAGATCGGTCGGTCCATTTCCTCGTCTTTGCAGCGTTCGGCTCTGTCTGATATTAGTGACGGTACAGGGATAAACAAATAGATGGACTTGTTAGACATACTTGGCTTTAGCGATTTACTCTCGCGTTTTGGACGCTGTGAATGTTGGTTACCATCATTTCTTCCAAGTAAACTGCTGCGCCTACGCGGCAGTTTCACACCTGGGCCTACCTCTATGGACCCTGCTCCATCCGAGTCTCGCCTCCGTGAAGGTCTGGCTGCTTGTTTTGCTAAGCGTGCCTCTTCGAGTCGGTTCTGTTCAATAGATGACAGTCCAGCATTTACGCCTGACGAACCGGAATCCGCAACCCCAGTAATTTCAATGTAGCTGCTGGGAACGACGCCCTCCCTTCCATTCTTCAGGCGCTTGACCATCCACCACTCTTCGGATCTTGTATCATCCAAGATTACGACTTCATCGTCAACGCCCACGGAGACCTCATCTTCTCCCTGGGCGATAAAATCATATAGGATGATACCTTTCTTCTTGGCGCCACTAGTACCAGCTGCAATAACCTCTCTCAATCCTTCAGCCCTGTATCCGCCGGAGATCTCCCCAAGAGCAGCCACGATTTCTTGGGCAGTATCTTTAGCTCCAGCATGGAAATCGACGTTTTTACTCGGCCTGATAAGGTCAACGAACACATGCTTCCCCTCAATGGAATAATGCTTTAATTTATCTGCTGTCCATTCTTGGTAGGGCCCGTCCTCCGACTTCTCTGGTGATATGAATATGGTTCCAGCGGCAACATTGATCCCAAGAGTTGTTGGCATCTTCTTTCTCTTCCCCATAATCGATATCATTTCGCTGATGTTATATATGTGGTACCCTGAGGGTGATGTCGATGAATGCCGAGGATAAGCTTCATCTCGTAAGGCTAGTCTGCTGTACGGAGGAGATGGCTGGACGCCTCCTGAATCTCCCTTGAGAGAATCGCGAGGAGAGAGTCCACGAGATCTTTCACGAGAGAAATCTGTTGGCGAGGGTAAATGATCTCTTGGGGAGGGGGGAGGTCGATATTCCCTAGGAGATGGCAGATGTTCCTTAGGAGCTTCCTGGGACTGCGGACGTCGTGGGAGGGCAGGGGCCGGTGGTTCTTCCTCCTCCTCATCAACTGTGGCGGCCACTGTTTGCGCCTGGGCTGGAGAATTCCGAGAAGGAAGAGCAGGGATCGGTCTGGAATCGGCTGGCGGAGCTGGTGGTTGTTGGGTCTGCAGTATCCCGGCAAGAGCGGCGGCGGGGCCACCAGGTGGTTTAGTAGTTGTATGAGGAGCTGGAGATGCTTCTGGTTCAGGCTCAGGTTGAGCCTCCGGTTCAGGTTCAACGTGTTTGGCTTCCTCGTGGCTCTCAGCCGCGGGAGAGGCTGCAGGTACGGCTTCTGAGGGCTCAACGTCCCCTATAATCTGAATATAATTTGATGGAGCAAACCCGTACTCAGAGTTTACCTGAACCAACGTCCAGTCAGGGTCAGAGGTGTCAAAGATCAAAATATCGACATCATCGGCAAACGACACCTCCTCGTCCGTTTGTCGTGTGTAATCATAGATGGATTTTGCTTGCTGGATCGGTTGTGCCTATGAAAGTAAGAGAACAGTAAGCAAACCCTGGTCTTCTTTTCTGTAAAGAACGAATCGATGTATATATTGGTTATAAAGCAAAGCGCAATAAATAACGGAGACAGCACCTACCTCTTCCACGTAATTATTAGGGATCAATCCCACAGGTTCCTCGGATTCAAACTCGGTGGTCTTCTTCTTCGCTTTCCACCAGCCATCATCGGAGGACTTATCCAGTATGTACAGCAGGTCACCTTCCGCAAATGCTAGCTCATTTTCTCCTTGTGGTGTGTAGTCATACACAGCAGTGTAGACACCCGCAAAGCCCATCTTGGCCACCTCCTTCAACTATAACCAATGAATTCAATATCTTCTTCTCCGGGAGCGCGTCCAGTAGGCCTTCTGGCGGGAATAGATATATGCGGCCCTTTATATGCTGGTCTGGGCAATACGTTATGCACGCAGAGGTGATGGAATAATTGATTCTCTCGACAGCTAACTAGGACAAGTCGGATCAGACAGATGATAGTTTTTGTCAAGCAATCCTCAGGGCAATAAGTGAGCGACAGCTGAGATATATATTGGAAACAGGCCGTCACCGCATACTCCAGACCGCAACAGGTGGTTAGGGGAGGGGGGCTTCTCAGGTGCGGGAGACTCGGTAGTTGGGCTTTTGTCGAGCAATGCCAACAGGCGCAGACGTAGGAATCGGGTAGGACGGTAGAAACAGCTCTCGAGCAGAGAGTCTGTCGAATGATTAATGCTGGTGCAGCCGGCGCTGGCGTTTTTAGGCAGACTCTCTCTTCTCTCTCGAAGACGCCAAATGTTTCTCGATGTTCGAACTCGCAAGCTGGGCGAAACTTTCGACTTTCGGGCGGACAGAGATATGTATGTACGTTACAAGGGTCCACGGGCTGAAACTAGGTGTATTATGGTATATTACAAGCTAAATACGCAGATTACCTAACCATATATAGCATTTGATATAGAAAAAAAAAAGGAGAACAACCCAACGTTCATCTTGATAATTGATTCTACAGCTCGTCTTTTTCGTCTTCCCCCTTCTTTCTCTCAGTGTCAGGCTCGTCGACCTTCTCACTCTTCCTTCTTGCGTCATTGCCGTCGGTTTTGTATGTTTCATCACTGCCGGCTTCAGGGATGGTTTCATCTGATACCGGTTGCTTCTCCGGTTTTTGTAAGATCTGCTGCTCCTTGTCTGACTTCTGCTGTTGCTGCTTCTTCGTATTAGTCTTCTTCTTCATCATCTTCATCTCTTTTTGCTGCAGCTTGAGTTTGGTCTCTTTCTTTGTGTTATCCTGGCTCGGTTTGCCCTCAGCTTCTGTCTCCCCTTCTTCGTATTCATCTTCTTCTCCTTCCACTTCATCGAAAGAGTCGTCGATAATCCCTCGTAGCCCCTCCCCTCTGCTTGTGGTCACTTCTTCCAGCCTCCAGTCTTTGCCATCCGCAGCTTTATCCAGCCCTTTCCTCAGCCGCTCAAACTTCTCGCTGGTCACCTTGTGCTTCTTGAGAGTTTCCTTCGATATAACTTTCACTTTGCCGCCTTCACTCTTGGCTACAACCTGGATCTTCTCGTCCTCGCCAAATCCAAATTGATCCTTTTCAATTCGCTTCCCATCCTTGCCTACCAGCTTCATCGCCCCGACTTCGATGTCTCCAACCATCACGGAAGGCTCATCCGTGCCTTCGACAAGTTCCCTCTTTGCTTGTGCCTTTTTGGCGGCTTTAGCAGCTTCCCAGATGGGAACATGCTCCGGTAGTATTATCTCTCGACATTGTATACTGTTCGGCTGCTCTACTCGTGGCGGTTGGAATGCAACATCATTGCATAGTCTGGGAGTATAGACCATCATGACGTAAGAACATGTAGTAATCTCCTTTATCCAGGCAATATGCTCGGGAGACTGTGGATGACAGTGAAACTGCACCTCGATCTTGCGGGGCTTCCTTGTCAAGTCACATATAGTGCCACGCTCAAGGTACTGCACTAAATACCATGATTCCCCCTTGGTTTGCAGGGCTGCCACTTCCGTGGACGCTGCCGTGGACTGGCTACCCCCTGAATTCCCTTGGAATCTACCCAGGACGTAGGTTGTAGAATCTGGATCTTCCGCCGGCGGATAAACAGGAACCCCTTTCCCGGGAAGTCGTGCATGAAACTGCCGCACTTCGTTCATATAGCAGAAAGAATACGACCACCAACCAGCAGCATAGTATAGACATTTCCCTTCTAAATCACTGAGCAGCTCAAGGCCTCGGTTGGTTGCCCTCGCTAATTCAATTGCTTCCTCGTCCGGGTTAGGCGTAGGTGTGGATGTGTTGTCCTTCCCCGTGGTTGCTACGTTCGGGATACCGCAGAGGAATCTCTGTCCATTAAGAACCATTTCATGATATGAATCAATTGCTATATCACCCTCGTCTGGCTTGGAATTGTCATCCTCCGCCACTTGCTCGTCCTGAAGCCGCACCTGCTGTGACAAATCTGATCGGTCGCCTTGATAAATGGTTGCAGGTGTCTCTGATGGCTGAGAAGGGGTGTTGGTAGCAGTACTGTGTTGCGACTGGGCTTTTGCAAGCCGTAGCCGTGCGTCTGACTCGAGTATGTATTCATCAGGGAAGAGTACCTCGAACTAGAGGAAGCAGAAATAGTTAGAGCACTGGATTCTGTCATCCCTCCCCTTTTGACATGCAGTATTCATACGCACCTGGGGGCTCGCTAGCACATCATCTTGTATGCTGAAAGGCTTGTGCGCTGCAGATGCAACATTTACACCCGCTAGTAGCGTTGTGAGCGTTATGTGTATGTGGTGTCGCATGTCTGCCAAATTGCACCATGAAATCGCACAGGCAGTACTTTATCGTTCTGTTCTTCAATACTTTAGGTAAAATATGACTTCATACCCGCAGCTCGACCAAGGTATAGAGGCAATGATGAAGCGATATTTGTATCTCAAGATCTCGTGTTAGATAGAAACCATATTTGCGTGTACAACTAGATAGCGACACATAAGATCTACATTAAGAACCAATGCGCAAGTCAGTATCACATATCAAATCATATATCAACGACAGCCTTAACTTACCTAGCTAGCAGGTTGTATTCCAACCAGTAAACTTGGTATTTCTTCGGCTTCGCTGAAAGGTGGCTCGAAGTGACTGCTTATGTAATATTTTAACTACAACGTCATTTTTGATAAGATAAACAGAAAAGAAGCAAAAACATCTGAGCCATGTAACATTAACAGTCCGAAGAAATAATAATCAGTGGTTATATGATACCATAGCTACAAGGGCAGCGGATTCCAGTAGATGATGGTGTAAAATTTCTATATAACACAATTCCGTTAGAAGAATGGGAAATTCCCAATAACTGGATACAGCATTTTTCATCAAGAGCCGGTCTACCTATTTATTCCGTTCGCAACACTGGTCTTCCTCGTCTTTTTCCAGGAGCGTTCTTCTTCTTGTGCCCCTTTTCAAATGCAGCAGCACTTCCGTGATCTCGCCCTAGATTGTCGAGATCCTTAACCTTATAGATTCGGATGATCCAGTTCTCACTTGTGAATGCCTCTTCGATCGTAGTTAGTTGCGGGCCCTGGGCTGGAACTCGGACACCACGGACACGGTCTTGCGCTTGCCCTGGAGGGAATAGACTATTGAAGTTATAATAGGACATTTTGTACCTAGAGGGAGGGTAGTTAGCTATCGGTACGCCTCAGACTATACTGAAGTAAAGCTTACATTAAACTGTTGCGCATTGTCGGAGTTGCTTGGTCATCTACGCGGTATTCGCCGCGTGCAGTGAAAAAGTCTCGTTCCTTGACCTCATCAGGCCAGATACCTTCGGCAATACGGACCATCCACAAGAATTTGTTGATGTCGTCTCCGGAATACCCTAATAGACCTCCGAACACAACAAGCACGTAGTCCACGTCATGTTGCCTCAGGATAGGATAGCTAACCTCCTCACTGGAGCTCATTGCTTTACCAACTGTGGCAATATGTGTATTGTTCCAGGTATTATTGTCAACCAAGGTTGGGCGATCAGCCATACCACCGATCTGGTATCCGTAATCCCACCACGCCATGATTTTTGTGTTCTTAGGGGTGTTCTGTCTAAGCCAGTAGTATGCTTCACGGTAATCATCAATAATAAATTGGGTACCGTCAGGTAATTTGCTGGCTAAAACAACGGAGGGAGAGGAGTAGGCATTGGAGGTGACCCAGGTACAATGGGCGACAAAGAATATGAGGTAGACTAGAACGGTCCCGGACACAACTACCTTGGAGAGATTGGAGTAAATTCCCACAAACTTATTGCGAGCTATCCGTAGGCCTCCTTGGGTTGGCTTATCACCAGAATGTTTGTTTTCGGAGCCCGGATTGGGGGTGTCCATGCATAGATATACATCCAGTATCTGAGACAATGCTAACGCAGCTGCGACACATACCACGGGTGTAAGAGTCAACATTAATCGGACCATGACTCCAGCAAAATAGCTTGCAAGGACAGCATAAATGATAACAAAGACATGTTCGTCTTTTAGCTTGTAGAAGCACATGTATACACCTGGTGGGAATAGCCAGATCATGATGTTCAAGTCGAAATAGAAAGCAGGCCATGCGGTAGGCTGATGTTCAGATACGGATGCAATAATAGGGATATGGATCTTCGCGTAGCCGGTGTCCCACAGCGAGTAAAATCGGCCACTCCATGGAGCAATAACTCCTGAGACAGTGAGAAGTACTAGCCCAGTAAATGACAGGGCGAAGACCAAGAGGACTAGACCGGTGAGAACTGTCTGGAACTGTTTGCTGGGAACCTGGGCACGGAGAAATTCCACAAAGGCGACAATTTGAAGCAGACCGAATATACCTGATTCCAAAGTTAGTAGACGCCTTATTAGAGGGGACGCCTAGTATGCTTACCCAGAGCTGCCATGTGGTCGCTGTTGCGGATTGGTAGGAAACCAACGAACGGAACCTGCATGCTGGCTAAGGTACCGAGGGCATACCATGTTGTATAACTGATGTACAGACGGGAGGTATATCTCCCCATGCAAATGAGGACAAATACATGGAGAGGAATCAGATTGGTGATAAAAACATATCCACCCCAAGCAGACACCATATATCCGTAGAACAAAGCCGTCAAGGCACCCCACATGATCGATCCATTCTTCACAGCCTTAATCCAGAGGAAAAATGTAAAAACCAGAAGGAAGATGGCAATTGCTTCGTTATCATAACTACCAGCCACTGATCGGGAGATGTAGCCTGGTGCAATTCCAACAAATGCGGCGGCTAGAAGACCAGCGGAAGGCGAGGGAGCCATCTCAGTAGTGAGAAGATACATGGCTAGAGATGTCAAGCCAGAGAAAGCGGGTGCAAGAAGAACGCATACGTTTCGAATATCGACGGGGAGGGAGATGAGTCGTAGGAGCTTATAGATGACACCGCTGGTAACCATCAATCCGGGATAAAGTGTGCCACCAGTAACACGTCCAAGGGGGTGCCATGTTCCTAGGCCATACTGCGTCAGTACGAAGGTCCATCATTTCAAAATAAGGAAGCTCTAGGTAACTGCTCTAGAGAATGCAGATCAGGTTTGCGGGAATATGATGCTTCTTACGGTCATCAAACCAGTCCCAGAACTTATAGAAGCCATTTTCAACAAGGTATTTTGTAGCTCGGAAATTGAACCATGGATCAACTATAATGGCGCATTGCGGTCAGTTGCAGTTGACTTTAATGCCGTGCGGCTAAATTGATGTCCATAGAGATGGCAGAGGCATATTCGTACATTCGTGGATAATACTTTCAAATCCTATTGAAGTAGCAAGACTATTAGCCATCATATTCCACGCTAATTCATATACAAACAGGTATAAGGGGCCCTCCTGGTGATATCCATACTTATTACACTGAACAATCTACTGGCAATGGCAGTTGCGGCGATAAACAGCAGGATAATAACGCGCAACAGCCCACGGGTATTCTCAGAGGTGCTACCCTTCAGAAAGGGTTCAATTGCACCGCTGGCCATGATGGCCCAACAAAAGAAGAAGAAGCGGGTGAGAAGGGAATAAGAGGCAGACTTGCTGTCGCGCTCATGGATGTAAATCGTCTTGCTTTGAGCTTCTTACGAACGCAACACGCTGGCTTCGAGCTTAGTCATCCAAAGCTATTTTTTGACTACATCCGAAAGGAAGACATCAAGTTACAGCATCTCTCGTCAAGCATCGATAATATCAGACATTCATCTCTTGGTTATTGCCTCTGCTAGGCACGAAGGGCTGGCCAACGGTGTCGTTACGCAATGAGAAAACATTTTGATAACCTCCATCTTTCCAGATGGGCCAGGCAGAAACACGCCACCAAAACAAGCATAACTACACAGATACGACAACGACAATCCAGACAGAGCCTCATTGCGGCTTCTAGCCTACTATGTAGGTGGAACTTTGAGCAGACAGGCATTTATGCGGCGTTTTGACCCCCAAATTCATGCAGTATGCCTGCTCATGGCGCCAAATTGCATTGATATCACTATGCCACCTCAGCGTGCCATGATGTATTGCTGTTTACTGGTTAATGATCATGCTGCATGGCCTGGGATGTTTCCGGTTATTCCGACTGTGACCTCTCATCCATTCATTTACAGTGCTTTGACCCTGACTACTCAGGGTAGAGGGTGACTCATGTTGCTAAGCGTCGACGAATGCCCATAGACGAGCATTACCAAAATTACCAGCAATTATTACTAGGTTTTTCCAATGTAATCCTAGACATCCAGTCCTCATTCGCCCGGAGCTATCCAAATCTACTTCCGTCGAACACCTAACCCCGTTATGGCAGTTGGACAAGTAGGCTGTACAATCTTTGATGGCTGGCCTATTACATGACAATTACTTATAACAAGGCTATCCAAACACAACAGCTGGTCTGTTTTTCAATTTTTAATGCCTCAATGATACCCTTTATATTTTGTATATCATCGTTTATACACAAGTGACTATATAAAGCCCCTCCTTCTCTGAGATTTCCCATCTTTATTTCTATCAACTCACGAAGCAGAGCCCGTCAAATAATAAACCCCTTACACACCCAACATTCCACTCTATACCGCCATCACCACCTACGATGTCCAAAGAAAGGGCACTTGCTATCAAACAGCTGCAGGAGGAAGCACTACGCAGCCTTCCACCGAACTCCCTCTACATCGTACTCTATATACGATCAGATCCACCCGAACCAAACAATTTCCACTGGGGCTTTTACTCCCACTACAATGAAACTGGTGGATGCAAATACCACATGAGGAATTTGGGTGATGGATGGATAGCGGATCATGGACCAACTGCTGGTGTCTTTAAATCAACATTCCTTTGTGTCCTCATCCAAATTGCAAGCATCCCACCTGAAAAGAGGAGCTTGCTGGATCAGATCATGAGATCCCACGACGGAAACACCAATTCCATTCCTGGAATGAGCTGCAGAGTCTGGTTGCTAGTCATTCTACAGAAGTTGATTCAGCAAGGGTTAGTCCGGTGCAACAGCTGTGAGGCACTGGAGCAGGAATGCCTGGAGATTGGGAACCAACATAGTCCTGGAGCCTCCAAAAATCATCAACCACGCCCTGTCGTGAAGTCTAAGTTATGTGATTAAATGCTCTCTCTCAAGATCATGGACATCGGGGGTGGCAATTGGGGTATAAGGAAATATCTTTGACCTTTTAGTTTGCAGCTTGTCATTTCATATTATTTCTCAGTGTTGTGATATTTACATATTGCCATTTCGTATTTCCCTCAGCTCCAAAACTAGCTTGTCGTTGCATGTTAACTCCTTTAAGTTAATTGAATAAAAAGCTTAGTTGTATCTACGTTTTTTGTATTGGGCTAAATAAAGCTTCTGAGATCATACTTCCATTAAATTACATACCTATATACGAGTCAACAGTCAATAAATTCAAGGCAACGTCTGAAGAGAGTTCTTGAGAATACTGATCCCCTCCCATCCAAGATGCGACTTGATACCACCAACTGTTCCGCCCAAATCTCATTGCAGTTGTGAATTCCCAATATTCAGGGTACCAGCCAGCAGACTCCCAATCCAGGAACCCTGATAGGTGTCCGTCATGGTCAATCAGAATATTATGAGCCTTGAAGTCCCCGTGGGTGAACACAATCCGGTGCGGCCTTTCGTAAATCTTCCTTGCTTTCACTAACGTCTTTTGGAACTCATCATTTGAGGCAAAACCATGTGCTGAAGCGGCAGAAAAGAGGTAGTCATATAAACCTTTTTCAGTTGAGAAAGGCCCCATGATATGGCGTGGAACACGCTGGCTTCGAAGGGGAGTCCCAATCACTGAACCCGTATACAACTTAGCAGGGGGGCTCCATTGACGCATTGCATGCACACATGTCTTTAATTCCTCAAGCCATGGATCCTCTCCTTCAACTTGCAATGGATCATCTGAATTTTCCAGGGTTATACCAGGGAGTCTCGTCATCAGAATCGAAAATGTCCTATTATACGGGTGATTCGGATGCTCGCCACAGCAAAGGAACTTGGGAACTGGTACTCCAGCAGCCGCTACCATCTGCATCGCTGCAACCTCCTCAAGGCTTGTCCGATCTGTCCATTTCATCACCAAACCAAACGGCAGCTGCACAATGTTGTGGTCAAATGGGATATTGAACCAGCGACAATACCACCGAGAAAAGCGGCAAAGGCCTTTATGAATGATGCCCCAGGCGAGTCTGATAGTCCTCCCAGGTATATGAGGAACCGGAGGAGTTATTTCGGATATGCGAAGGAGTATTGGCCGTGGCCATGTAAAGTCAGGTCGTAGAATTTGCGGTATCCATGGACTAGCCATGTTGAGGACCTGGGAAAGCTCGTATAAGAGCTGATAGGCAGCGGTTCGAAGCTAAATGGCGCGAATACTTGTCAAGAGAATATTCATGAGATGTAAATCACGGTAAGAAATATGTCTTGCACTTCCCTGGGAGCTCAACCAACTAGCTAGTTCAATATGAAATATCTATTTGGTTAGGCGCGCGTTAAACCAACAAGCATCGCCTAAGCAACATCAGCTTGATAATGTAACTCATCCAGGAAGATGGCATTTTTCCTCCTGAAACGTTCGTTTGTCCAGTATAACAAATCATTATTTTGACATTAAAGAACTCCTAGTAATAAGATATCAAGAGTATACAACTCAGTATGAAGCAGACAAAAGTCATCTAAGGCCATCCTTCTTCAAGCTGTTTAATCCTCGTCGTTCGATCCAAGGAAGCCCTTCGCTTTACTTACACTGTTACGCAATTAGCATTCGCATAAAAAATACATGCTTAACAATAATAAGAGTAGGGGGCCGTACTGTCCCAGGTCATCATATTCACCACCCTCTTCAGGCGGAATCACACGATTATCGCTTCCACTGGCTGTCGAACCAGGTCCTACCCTCACCTGCGACCCCGGGAACTTATTCTCAACGCCTGCATCGACGCCTGTGTCCTGAGCTGGAAAGATTGTAAGCAGAAGATCAGATCCGCGTGAGGAGGAACTCACTGGTATCGCTGATATCCTTCCTTCTTCCGGTCTTTGCTTGGTACGAGTTGAGGTCTCGTTCTGCTTGATATGCTTCCTGAGACATGATTTATGCGTTTTAGGATGGATTATACTGTGAAGATAGTTGTATTGCTATATCTTTGACTATAAGGGATATATATATACATGTCTAGGAAGATGTCATGACATCATGTTTACAGGATGTATTCTACTTTGACGTAAGATATCAACAAGTACGTGGCGATGAAGACATAAAACACCTAACATTTGGCAATAACCATAGTACAAATGTAAATGCAAAACAGGATGCAAAACAGGAAAACATGCTAGGCAAATTCTGGGTTACAGGTCATATCTCATCAATTGAATCGTAACGCGGGTTGAAAAGTGTGATTCATCTATAGCATTCTCTTTCCGATCTCACTCTGCCACCCTCTGGCCCGTTCAAAGCCGTTAGAGCTGGTCTGGAAGTCACTGATAGCTTGGTAAACTTCGTCAGTGGAGCTCAGGACGAATGGACCGTATTGGACAATCTCCTGATCAAGAGGCTGGCCGGCAACGATCAGGAACCGGGAGTCCTCTCTCGATTGGTTCGACGCTTGTACGGAATCGCCCTCTTGTACGAACACGACGTTGTGGAACTGCGGGACGCTGCGTTTGCCAAAGGCAGTGGTGCCCTCGAGCGTGTAGGCAAAGGCATTCCATCCGATCGGTAGCGTCTGGGTGATCCTCCCGCCTGGCTTGAGTGTAATGTCCAGTATCCAGACGGGCGTGTAGGCCAGATCCTTGACCGAGTCTATCCCGTGCGACTTGCCCGATATAACTTTCACGATGGCTCTGCCATTATCGGCAGACGCAATTGGAATCTCATCGGCGCGGAGATCGCGGTATCTGGGTTCACACATCTTCAGCTTCTTGGGCAGGTCGACCCAAAGCTGTATGCCGACATTGGGGCTGCCGTCGGGGTTGTTGTGTGGCATTTCAGCGTGCATGATGCCCCTGCCCGCAGTCATGAATTGCAGATCACCTGGTCCGATGGTCCCCTTGTGGCCGGTGAAATCTTCATGATCTACACCGCCGGAGAGGAGGTAGGTGATCGTTTCTTGTCCTCGATGCGGGTGGTCCGGGAATCCAGCATCCTTTCCGACGGTGAAGTGGTCTAGCATGAGGAAGGGGCTGAAGTTCCGTAGCTTAGCGGTGCCGACTGATCGTCGGACGCGGGCACCGACGCCCTCTGACTTCTCGATGGCCAGAAATGCCTGTCTGATGGCTCGTGGAGCAGACATGTTGGTATGTATGGGGCTGTTGATGTGTGTAGTTTCTGTCAGGTTCTTCAGAGTAGAGTCTGGTCTTGTTTTCGCGAACAGAGTCAAGTTCTGTCTGACTGGATATATCGATGCAATGGAAACGAAGATGATGAGAAAAGAGAGAAACATCCAGGCCATGGAGAAACAGACGGTATTTATACCCTTTGGCCTCTCTCTGGCACGAAGAACGAGAATCTTCGAAGCGAAGAACGCTCTGGTAAGGTAGACATCGCTTTATAAACCCTTATGAGAGCCTGAGTAAGACCTGACGAGTTAATAGTTTCAGTGCTCTGGACCCAGCAAAAGGCTTAATTAGACTCCACGGATCTTTTTTAAACTGGATTCCATGCATCCTCCGAACCAACATATCGGCGCTTCTTGGAGTCTTGAGAAGTTTGCTTGTTCAGCTTGTCGAAGGCTGAAGGCGAAGGGAAAAAAAAGCAAAAAGTCTCGTTTTGTCAACGCTGACAAAACAAGCCTCGGCTTTTCTAGAAAGCTTAGCGCAGCATGACAAAGACGGTTGTAAGCAAGACGAAGACCAAAGGATGGCCGGCGATGCTATAAGATATGATATGGACCCCCTTTTGTGCATGCCCACATTCTTTACCATGCTTACTCGATGAACAGTCAGAGGTCATGCTTGTCTCGCTTGCATCGTATACATCAGGTACGCAAAGCTCGGCATGTACGTGCGGCAGAGAAGATGCTGTATTACAATAAATACCTAGCTAGAGCATAGAGGATAGTAAAGGAAACAGAAGGCCTTGAGAGAGGGCGCAGTGAGACGAGGAAATCCTGCATGGTTGCTCGTCTTGTTGATAACACGGTGTCTTGCTGCAGCCCCCTTTTTTTTTGGCTCGCCAGGGGCCGGATGGAGTACACGTATCTGCGCCCTATCCCTGTAGTACAATTTTCGTAGTAAACTATTACTTTGCAAAGTGCAAGTCGTAAGAGAGCCACTTTCGGGCGTTGATTCCAGCAACGTCCAAACCCGGGGTTCCGTAGGTTAGCGGGGCGAAGAAGCCGAAGCCCCAGATCGTGGCACCGAGGATGGCAATGGTGGCAGCCCAGATAGCCATGAGGCTCTGTCGGGTATGTTTTAATTTCTGGGGCTTGCCGCCGGGTTTCCTCCCCGTGGAGTTTTCGCTCAGGCCGGCTGGGTCGAGGTTGAAGACGAATTCGACCAGGGCTCCCGTTACGAGGACGGACGCTACGTGGGCTGGGAGATAGTGGTGGAGGAACCGTTGTCTTCCCATAAGGTAGAACGGGAAATAATGAGCTGCCCAGCAGAGGAAGAAGAAACCGGTGCTGTTGTACAGGCGGTTGCGGGTTCCTGGACCCCAGACTGGTAGTAGTATGCTATTAGTGACTGACAGTAAAAAAGTAATGACGTCTACAGGTACCGAATAACTTACTTTCTTCCAGAGCATCGATTCCACGACGAAGAGAAAGCTGGTCGGCCCCGATAATGCCGACGAACACGGCCAGAAGACTGCTTGAGAGCCACCATCCGACGGGGTTTCCGAGGAAGTAGATCTGCTCTCGGGTGTCGTTCTTCGTCCAGAAGCTGACACCACGGAGGAGGAATGGCCACTGGAACGGCTCGCTCGCGTACGGGTGGCTGCTCGTCAAGGCATTGTTATGGTGGAACATGGCGATCTGGAGCTCGAGGTACTTCTTCAGGAAGCGCATCGGCTGGACCTTGCGGGGTTCCTGGTTCATTCGTGGGCTGTCTGGCGCCAGGGATGGAATGTCCTCCGCATACCAGAGGTTGCTTGCTTCCTTGTTGTTCTTGTTTCCGTTGATCTCGGCTTGCTTGTAGCCCCAGTCTGGCAGAGGCTTCGTGTGAGTCCACATCGCGACCTTTGAAGGGAAATGGATCAGGCTGAACAGGCTGGACCTGGTTCGGAATTCTTCTTGCGATTTGCCCTTTGGAATCTGGATCTCAAACAGGGTATCGTTGCGTCGCTTGCCTGCAGCATCTTCAGGGGAGATGGTTGTAAACTCCTGGTTGGTCGGGTAGCTGGGAGACGCAACGTCGTGAGAGAGCAGGAAGCTGTTAGTAGCAACATGTCGAAGCTGGATGAGATTTCCATTCCGGACCTTGTGACCAGTACGGTTTTCAGCCGAGAACGCGAACTCGGGGATGATTTCCCAATGGTTGTTGGTATCGTTGTGTGGGTAGCCGGTGACCTGCTGCCCCTGACTCGAGACACGGCCGTCGTCATAGCGGAGGGGGTAACGGTCAAGGTGGCTGTGTAGATAGACTTTGGTATCCTTGTGTCGGATGGTGATCACGTCGTGGAACTCGATTCCCTTGGACTGAGCGAACATGGGGTTGTCACTGAGCGAAGCCTGGAACTCAGGGCTCATGAAGTCATCTCCAGGGCCAGACTTGGTAAGAATGGCAAAGTGGACCTGGAACCAGAAGAGGTAGAGGAAGAAAGGGACAACGATCAAACCGAATGCTCGGGCAGCAAAGTGGGTGCCAAACTCAAAGAGTGTGAGCTTGCCCTGGCGGCGATTGACGTCGAGTAGGTTCCATAGATCAATCAAGACGGCAGATCCGATAGTCACGAAGGTGAAGACACCAACGTATTTCGTGGAGATGACGCAGCTGAGGGCAATGCCGGTCAGAATCAACCACTTCCACCACTTTCGACCGAACGGTTCATGTCTGTTCTTGTGGAATTTGATATAGCACAGCACGCTCAATGCCATTGAGATGACTAGCGTAGCATCAAGTAGGATCAGTCTGTCCTCGCCAATATGGGCGTTATCGAACAGGAGGAGACTGGCCGAGAGGATACATGCTGGGAGCGAGTAGCCGGATTCCCACATAATTAGGAAGACAACAGGAACAGTCAGGGAGCCAAGCGTGGCTGGTAGAGCGCGGAGGGCAACATATGGCACCTTGTTGTCGATATACGAGTCTCCAATGTTTTCAAAGAGGAATTTTCCATCGAACCCGACGAGCCAGCCCACCAGCGCGAAGAGGAGTTTGGCAAAGGGCGGGTGGACGTCGAAGAAGTACGTTCCCTGGATATACAGTGAAGCGAACTATATACAGCGTTAGCCCGTCATTGTTGACTTTAATATAAAATCCATCTGGTGTATACTGACCTTTCCGAAATGCACTTCATCAAAGACCACCTGGTCAGGATGGCTTATCTTCCAAAACCTCGAAACGAACGCCCCGATGGTAACGATCACCAAGGCAATTCTGTAATCCCATTCCCACGACTCATCGTCTCCCTTCGCCACGGCCGGCTGCTTCTCTGCGCTCTTCAAGGCTGGCACGGCTGCAGGGGACGGAGATCTATCAGCATTCTTCTTGCTGCCCCGGTGTCGAACGCTAGAAGACGGAGAAGCCATCATCCGGCGTCAGAAGTAAATCCTTGCTATCCCTTATGGTCGAATAGAGCAGTTCTCGAAAGATGGAATGTTTATCTACTTGGGCGAAACTGAACACGTTAGCATCAAGCAGAGTAACGGAGTCGCTTGCGCATGCGACTGGGCCCTTGCAAACACACCTCAAGCAGCGTGTAAAAAAGAAAGACGCCTTAGGACATTATTAAAAGAGCGTCAAGAAGGACGAAGGAGAGGAATTAAAGAGTAAACAAGAAGCGGATTAAAAAAGAAAGGGAGGTTGGTGTATGAAGAAGAAATAAGAAGCGAAGTTGTAACTTGAAGCTGGTGGTAGCTAATAATAATTTTTTCTTCCCTTGCAGCGCTTGGCCAGGCTTCTGCTTCTCCTGAAGCTTCAGGCCGTTTGTTAATTCTCCGACAGCTAATAGTGGGAAGAAGGGGATGGTAAGAGAAGTATGCAGATACAGATAATAATAGCGTATACAGAGGCTTCTAGTACAATAAATGCTCAATATGTATCCAAGAGGCAATCCAAAGAAGAACAAGGCCATATACACCGAACGCCATCCATGCAGGGCTTAATCGTCATTTTCCATCATTTCAAGCAGGTCGAGCTCCCTCGTTATCATGGCCTGGTACTCTGCTCTAGACATACCCGACGCCCTGGCGAGTCGGAACATGCTCTTGACGTTGGTCGAGATGTGCTGTCGAATGGCCATCTCAGAGGCAGACTGACATTCTGCCGAGTGCTCGAGTTTAGATATGGCATCAGACCGGTTCGAGGACGAGGCAGAGGCTGGACGTGGGTGGCTGAGTGGAACGCTGGAGTCGTCGACCGGCTGTCTCCCTCGTTCAGTGGTCGACTGCGACTTCGACTGCGACTGCAGCTGTTGCTGGATGATATTGCCCATCTGCCGCTTGAAGATGTCTTCTAGGGTGTTTCCGTCGAGAGAGGTGTCTCCAACATCGGCCTTGTCGACAGTAGGATCGTCGTTGTCGAGAGCAGGCTGGACGTTGGAGTACTGGTTGTAGTATGCGGCGTCAGACATCTGTTCCCCGCCAGGACCGTCATTCTGGCCCTGAGCCATGCCGGTCACACCGTTCGCCGGCGTGCGTGACTGAACGTTGTCATACTGAGCCCAGTAGTCGTCCTCGTCGTCCCTGTCTCCGTCATCTCGTTCCTGGACGATGATTGGGACCGTCTTGTTACTCGGTGTCACCTCTCTTAACGCTTCCTTGAGCGTCAACTCCTCTACCGCCTCGTTGGCCTCTTCCACAGAACCAAACCAAGCGTCATCTTCGTCCCTGAGCGCATCAAGCGGCAGAACTTCTGCCACTCTCCACCCTGGTCCGCCCCCTTCCTGGTCTGCGGGACACCATACATACACCACCGTGAGGTCAAACTCGTTCAGCGGAAGTCGACAACGCAGTGTCTCGGAATCAAACCGTCTATACGTTATCGTGATGTCGTCGGGGATCTCTATCTCTCCCGACACTGGATGCGGTTCAAACGACTCCTCTGCCTCTCCCACGATCCTCTCCAACTCCGCTGCATTGGCGGGGCCCCAGCACAGCAGTTGAAGCCAGGACTCAGACGATGAAGCAGAGCCAGATCCCAGCAGCTGCACTCGCTGTCGAAGAACTGGGGAGAGCAGAGGCAGCAGTACTGGTGGCGGCCGAGAGGACGCAAAGCCGAGCGGCAGACAAGCAAGCAACGGCCCAAGCAGTTGTCTCGGTTCTGGAGGAGGAATATATTCGACCATATTCAGGCAAAAATCAACTCTGTCAGCGGCAAAGTCGACTGCTTTTTTCCCTCTGTGTCTCCCTTGAAGAGCTGTTCGGCGGCTTTATAGACTGGAGGGGGGGGGGCCAGAGAGGGCCTGATAAGTCACGCGTACGGATAGTTAAGCGTGAGAGTAACAGTTTCACTATGCTTGCTTCTTCAGCGTCTCTGCATGAAGAGCAGATATATTCCTCTTTAGCAGTAAGAGAAGAGAGTAAAATAACACTGGACAATGTAGCTAGGGAGTTAGCCGGGTTAATATATATAAGTATATACGGCGTACGCGAGCGGGAATCGTTCCGTCTGCCCAAGGGTGCATTTTTTTGACTCCACGGCTAGTTCTTTTCTTTTTCGGGGGGAATCGGGGCCCTAGAACGCAGCTAGGCAGTAGTTTAGAGAGATGGAGACGGCCATGGAGCAGAGGACTTTTACTCTGCCAGACACTTATCGACGAGAGAAAGACTGGCTGCCGTCGTCGTTTTCTTCTCGTTCTCAAGTTCATCTTTTCGTTGTTTGATTTTCGGGTTGAGCATCATAAGCTTAGTCATGCATTACTAATATCCGATGAAGATGATATAAAAGCGATGATATAGATGAGAGAGACAGATAGCAATAGAGATAATATTATAGGCGGTGGTACGATGATAGGATTCAATAGCGGTATAGAAGTGTAATGGCAGTTCAACGCCGAACGGTAATAGGAAGAATTGAGCTAGGCCGGGTATATGAAGTACGATATATGATACAGAAGGGCAAAGGGGCAAAAGGGCAAAAGCAAAGAGCCGTAAAGAGGCAAGGAAGAAGTGGCTGGGAGGAGAGAGAAAGATGTCTCACAGGCTCCGCTCGCGGCTGCTCTGCTCTAGCTTGCTGGTGAGTCGCTTCATGCCAGCCCACTCGTCTGCAGAAACGTCCTCGGCGCTGCCACTGAGTCCCTTTCCGACGTCGAATACAGTCACTACCCCGTCCAGGCCACCAGTAGCAACTCGTCGGCCCTCTCGTTCCTCCCAGGCAACCTTGTTTAGCCCCTTGGTTAGGACGCCACCACGGCCAGCTGTCGGCGTCGCACTGCCAACGGGTACCTCTGTTTCCTGCTGCAGGTCCCATATCTCGAGTCTTCCGGCCCCGTCGACAAGAGAGAATATACCCGGTCGATGGGGCGACCACTTGGCATCGTAGACCACGTCTTCCCGGGTAATGTCGAGGATCGGTGAGACTGTCTGTAGTTGAGCGGTGGACGAGGTCCCCGACGTCGAGGTCGAGGCTGGTGCACGGATGCGCCACAGCTTCACACTCCAGTCTAGACTAGAGCTGAGCATGAGATCGCTCAGGTCGACTGGTCCCCGCGCAGGGTGGAAGGCGGTCGACATGATCGGGGCAGCGTGGCCGCGGTATGAGAGACGGTGGTCCGTCCCCGATTTGGCACCTGCACGGTCATATCGATGGCATGGATAGATGGTTCCCTCTTCGGTGCCAACGAGGAAGAAAGTAGGGTCTGACTGAGGGAAGGACAGCGTCGTAGGGGCAAGATCTTCGGTCTTGGATGGGGGAGGGGTGGTCAGTTCCAGGTATTCCTGTGGCTGTGAGAGCATGTCGACTGTCCATCCACAAACAACACCGTCGGTCGAAGCCGTCAGTATGTTATGTGCGTTCTGCGTTCCCACGATCGCGATACTATACACTGGATGAGTGTGACCTGATCCGGACAGCGGTGTTTTCTGTACCGGGGCACCACCTCCAGCACGGGACGACCGTGTATCCCATAGCAGAACCTGTCCGGAATATGACCCACCCACTATGAGGTTGGGATGAAACGGTGAAAATTTGGCTGTTAGAATGTCCGATGTGGAGTGAAAGACATATTCAGGCCGTGTGTGAAGGTGTTGGTTCCAGACTTGCACAAGGCCGTCCGGTTCATGAGGAGCTGTTGGGTTCTTGGTGTACGATGCCAAAACAAGCTCAGGGAACTGGAGATTCTTTAGTATGTATCAAAATACAAAGGCCATATGTTGGGACATACCTTTGGAGAAAAACTTATATCACTGATCATTCTCTTCTTGCTCCATCGTTCGTCAAAAAATTGTGTGACTTCTTTCAAATCTCTCTTCTTCCTGCCTGTCCCATACTCCTCGTCATCTTCATCCTCCGCACCAACTCCACCCAAAGCATAATCTGCCAGAACGTCATATTCTTCATCCAATGCTCTTTCAATAACCTTGCTAGATCTTTCGACGAAATCTAAAAACTCGCTTGCAGAAGTGACGGCATTTAGCTCGTCGGCTGTCAATGTGCGTAGGGGGTATCGTAACTGATTAGATGTAGATGTAGATCCGCCATTGGCCCAATCTTTGGCCAGCTTCAGCTCTTCTTCAATCTCCTTTCGCAGGTTATCACGTATCTCTTCGTCTTTTTCTCTCGCTCGTCGACTAAAACGTTTTGACGATCGAGATGGTGTCGTGGGTGAATTAGCATCGTCCAACTCTGATATATCATCGTCCACCGGCGTTTCTGGCGCTGGGATCGAGTCTGTTTGGACGCCTTTGCTGTATGTAAGGATTTCTACCTTTGGCGGCGCAGTGGGAGCTGGTTCTGGTACGGCATTATAAGGTGTCTCGTCGATTGTTTGAGTTGCTATAGAAAGTGACAACGGCCGTGTAGGAGGAGTGAATGTTTCGATGTCTCCGCTCAACTGTCCAGCACTAAGAACCGAATTCGGCCTACTTCCCCTGCCCCTTGGAGACTGCTCGCCGCCATCTCTTAAAGCTGCAGAAGAAGGTCTGTCAACTAGTCTGGATATGAGGTTGTCCAGCTCAGCTCTGTTCTCAGATCGATTTGGAATGGGAGATAGCACCTATTGTGACATTAGTTAGGCACAACTCTCCAGTCATACAGCCAGAACACATCCAACGTAATAACAAACCACAGCTACTCACCTCAGAAGAGCTTTCTCCAACACTCATGCGATTCTGTGAGAACTCCCTCTGCCGTAGCTCTCTCTGCCGCTTCAACTCCGCGAGCTTGGCCTTCTTCGCAAGGATCTCGTCCTTCCTCAGCTGCATATTTCTGTCTGCCATCTTTGCTCGTCCGACCTAGCGGTGTCTCTTTGTCCTTATCTTCCTCTTGAGACTGCCGTAGACAGCTTTTTGTGCCCAACCTATCTTGAATCTCCTGTCGCTTTGGCATCCCTGGAGTTGATATCAAAATATTACATAAGCGGAGCCAGGAACATCAGAAAATCCCGGAACGTTCAATCTCAACCCGAACTTGAATCGAAAAATACAACAAGAAGTCGTCCGGAATCCCATTGAGCCTAGGTCGCAAGTGGCTGCAGTGTTAATTGCATTGCTAGAGATATATACTCTTTGTCCATCTTCTATTCTCTCGCTTTTCCCTCGACACCCCCCGTACCTGGGGATTCCCTTTTTTTTTCGTGAATTCACAATGGCATCTCAAGGAGTTAATGTAAGGCCTCAATCGCAAGTTCCTGCCTGGAGAGAATGATATACGAGTGCCGATTATCTTGATGGCGTCGTGGGTTCTATCGTTGTATGCCCTTTTTACTGATGTTGATGCGCTGGCCTAGGTCCTCCGATACTCCGCTCTCTTCGCGGGTGTCTTTTACGGTTTATACCACCAGTCTTCTCTCAACACACAAGCGAGAGCCGCCCAGATAGAACGAGAATATAAGCGACAGGAGGCTTTGATAGAGAAGGCAAAAGCTGAATGGAAGAACAAGACCTCACCACCAAAGGAGGATAACAGTGGTATGTTAACCGCTCACTCCGCAAAGCAGCGAGTTTTTTTTTATCAAGCCTGGACCCAGCTCATTAGAATACAGTCATCACCGATCCAAATGATGCGCGATTTGACCTAGAGGCCCTTTTGAAGGCTACTGCGGCTGAAACAGCGAAATAATGGCATAGGGGAGGGGAAGTGATGACAAGATAGCTTATCAAGGCAGCTGAATCGACCCATCATGTCGAGTCTGGAAAATAATATTCATCTGGGTTGTTGACGTTGCTTAAAAATAAGTGAAGCTGGTTCCGGTTCTCGCACTTGGTAGAGGGACCTGAACCGTCTTTACTATGTATTATTGTATCATCTCATTTTTTAGTCTGTTGAGCAAAAGACGAAGGGAAGCAGCCACATCAATAGATTTTGTTTCTTGCTGTATATACTCATTGGATTTGCTTCAATGGTCTGCTGACTTTCTGATGTTTCTGTCGTAGATTTTATTAAATGATATTTAGAATAACTTCTAGCATAACTGCCCAGCTGATAATGGTAAAGCCTCGCGCATGAATAAAGGAACGAAATTCCTTCGCCTGTCAAGCATAGTCATAGTAGTGTCCTCTACTATGGCAGTCTCTAGTCTGGAATCGGATGGCAGATGTGTGAATGCTAAGCCTGACCTACGAGACCATGTAGATAACTTATTCATCATACAGTCTAACATCACCCTCAGGCGCTTCCGTGATTCCCAACTAGCGCGGTGATCTGTCCGAGCTTTATCCTATCTTCCACGCTCACTTGTGTTTCTGTCTTTGCAGGATACATCAGTTTTGAGGCAGGATCATAGATCCAGCCTTTTGCAGAAAGATCTTGTATCAATTGCGATGGTACATCGTCACCAGTATCCTGCATAGCGTCAGAGTCTGGTTCAAGCCCCAGCTTTGATTCAATGGTGGGCAGCCTAATGCTTTTGTAGGATATACTAATATCATCGATGACCTTGTTTCGGTAATGATCTGGTAGAAAAATATACATTAGAAACAATCCAGGACTCTATGGTCACTATTTATCCGCCATACTGACCTGCGTAAGATTGAACTAGCGGTTTAGCCATCTCATGCCATGGTGACGTCTTGAGGATCTCATAAACAGTTTTATGATCACCCGTCCAAACGGCTTGTACTAACGCGGGAAGGCTTCGCATCACAGAGTCTGATTCGAGCAAGGAAATAGGCGCACGACGGAGCAGCACACGAGCTTCATGGCTGTTGCAGAGAATAGTTAGCACTCTTCTCTTGCGAATGGCGCAGAAGAGAGGTCATTCTTACATATCATCCTCAAGGAGAAGGGATATTAGATATGAAGAGTAATATGTGCTTAAAAACCCCGCATCGCTTGCTACGTTATCCCTCGAACAGTATATATTGACCTCTGCCTCTAGCTCTATCAGCGATTCAAGCGGGGAAGTCGAAGTAGATAATATCCCGGCGAGCCTCTCCTGCATTGAGGAAGCTGATGCCATGTCGACGTTATCAGAAATAATAATCTAATTAAAGAGTAGGAGACGGCCAGAACAACGTCTGCGCAAATATCAGAAATCCTGTAGTTTGTCGTAAGAAATAGAAGAACATGCGCCGTTGTTGATAAAAGGCGCTGGTTTGTTGATAGACGATCGTTAAAGCGGCGTGGAGGTCACTTAGACTTTTTCTCGCCGCTTTTAAGTCTGAACAAGCCTCATTAAAATATTTATATTAATCAAGGACTATCAAATCAAGAGAATAAAATTACAAATAGTAAGATATTTATTCAATTTCCCGAATTAAGCGCCAGCCCTGGGTTCCTCCTCAGAATCACCTAATCTAGGGTATACCATACAACACCCCAGCTGAGTGCTTCTCCATCAGATTCACAAGGCAACACGATTGCATTCTTGCAATCACCGAGGACAGATCGTACAAACTGTTGGTGTAAAGACAAACGAAATCTCTCTCATGGTATAGTACAATTTACCAAGTCGAAACCGATAGGCACCTCGCACAGGAAAATAAAAAACCATGTAAAACAAGAACATAATAATAGAAACTAGGAAGAGGTTATGCCGGCCCTGGCTGCTTGGATCGAGGTGCCGTTATTTTGAGAAGCGGGGACAGTGTTATTCTGAGGCACGGGGGTTGCGCTGGGCGAGTTAGGATTACGGCGAGGATCTCGGGTTAGTGTCTGCTTAGCTTGTTCGGGGAGGGCATCTGGTTTCCATTTCAGGAGAATCTTAGTAGCCAGGGGGCGAGTTTCTTCCACTGTTTGACGATGCATGTTAGTCATGTTTCCCGAGAATGGATTATATCTCAGGATGTAGCTTACTTGTCTGGTATAAGTCGACTAGTGCATCTAAGCAGAGCTGTCTGGCGGGAGGTCGGACAATAACAAGGTAGCTATATCATGTTAACAAAGTCCTCTGCCGACGAACAAACAGCGAAGGCGAGTACTTACTGTAAAGCCTGGATACATAGATTAACTCTCTCTGGGTCGTTTGCTAGGGTTTTCACTTTCTGGATCAGAGAAGAGTCCAGCTCTGGTAGTTCACTCAGGAACCGTATGAGCACTTTGTCCTTAGCATCGAGGTATGGAAGCATGCCTTCAAGGAGTTTCAACGACCACTGACTATAGTGAGTCGGCACATAGGGATTGTTCGGGTCTGCCTCAATCTGAGAGCTAGTATTCTTCAACTGTATTTGATCATTATACCATTCCTCATTCATCCAAGAGATTGCAAAGTTCATGCGAGCTCTGAAATCTTCTAGGACATAGCGATAGAGGATATTGCGGATGCTATTAGCAATGTTCTGCTTCCCAGGGCCTTTTTGAGAATCGTGGCTCTCTTCGCTCTCGAGGCCGGCAGATGAGCGGGTGGCAAGTCTCGTCAGCAATGTGAGCCATGACTCCCGATCGGAAGAGCTAGCAGCTAGTCTTCCAAAACCGATGGACTGTGAAGGGTTATTGACAACGGCCTTTGAGGATTGCGGGAGAGTAGAGATCATGGCAAATATTCTGCTGACGGTCTCCTTGCCTAGATGTTCGACATCCTCCGAGGATAGAGGTGGTGGCTTCGGCAATACAAATGGCCCTAGCGAGACGATATCAGGTAATGGCTCTGGTGCAGGCGCCTCAGGTTTGACAATAGCCGTAGGTGGAACAGGGATATCCATGGGCTGGTACTCAGGCTCGTAATCATCATCGTCGTCGTCGGCAGCTGCCGGCGCGCTCGCGGCCTGGTTCTGCCTCTCAAATACTTGCTTCTTGCAGATAGTCTCATATCGAGATCGAACAGCCTAGATACAATACTTAGTAACAAACACACTGGGATATAGCTTATTGGTAAACTAAAAGGTGGAAAACTTACCCCTATAGCCTGATCTAAGGCTTCGCCCTCCACCCGGGTCAATACCGGAATAATGATTTTTACTACCAAGTCTACTGGGAGCTGCTTCACATCAAAGGAAGTTAAACCGACATCCTCTGTAAGGGTAAACAGTTGTCCGAAACTTGTAGGGCCTGGAGGAAGTGGAGGAATTTTATGCTGAGGCGGAGTTTCTAGGCCAAGTCTTGCACGTTTGGCACTGTCTACTACGTCGGTTGGTTCTGCTGGTAGAGCGCGCTTCCGTGACGCTTCCTCTAAGATCTCGTTGTGTGACTGTGCGAGCCGTTCAATGTATTGTTGGATACGCCCAGCCAAGGGATGGGTCGGGGCCCTAGATATAAATTGATAGTCAGCCGAACCTTGTCGGAGAATTACTGAGGGTATGCTCTACGAACTTTTTAATAATACTTAACAATAACGCTCTTGTTGTCCTCTCCATAGACTTAATGTTTACTTTGGTTGTTGGTGTAAGTGGCGCGTTCGCTTGTTTGAGAGGATTGAAGTTCAAGATGGCGGTTATGATCTTGTTTGAGATGGATGGACGGGTACGAATTAGAACCGGAATCGAGTTGAGGGTTGCGTTTATTAGGACGGGATCGCTGTTTCTTCTTGTTAAAGGTGGAACTGTAGTTTAATGTGCAGACGCTACGAACCTTGAATTTTCATGGAAGACGTTGAGTAGTCTATCCAGTAGTCCAGACGTCTCTGCTTCAATGTTAGGTATAGCGAGGAGTGGATGATTCCTAGGGACAATTGCTAGGGAAGTCTCGTTTTTCTCAGGTCGCTAGATGTGCCGTTAACTCTCAAAATACTGTCATCCTGTATTATTTCTTGAGTTCATAGCGTTCACATACTCTTGGATCAGCTATCGGTCCCTGGGTTTGTACCTGGACAACCTTCTGCGCGAACTTGATACAGCATATCTTAACTCCATGTGAAGACGCGTCCCACTTCCTCAGTATAGTATGTTTTATCGTCGTCATAGCTTCCCATAACGTTGCCTGGTCAGGGTGGTTCACACTAGTTATCAAAGACATATAGTTAGTGTCTTGTTCTCTTTCATTTTGGCAATAAGACGCTCATATTGAGCTGGTGTAATATGACATACATTTGTCTAAATATGAGGACATAGATGCTCGCAGCCGTCATGATGGCACCACGGACAACAGCCTCATCATTTTCAGGAGTATTCAATAAATCCATAATCGCACCGAGAACCTCAGTAGCTAATTTCTGCTTCGGTTGCTGGGGGAAGGCAGGGCTCGAAAAGGTCTCTGTGAGAAACTCAGCACCCCATCTTCGTAGCTCCAACCGCGCATTGGTTCCAATTATAGGTAATATGCCGTGGACGATTTGAGGATAGAGAGCAGCGTCACCGAGAACGAGATTTCGAGCTGCATCCAGCTGTGACATCTGCTCTACCAGACTGTTGCTAGGCAGAGCCATGGTGGGCAACAGCTACCAGATCTTAACAGACTGATGAAAACAAGGGGCAAGACAAAGATGACAGTCTATAATGCACCTCGACAACAGATTTGATTGATGATTACGAGTGTCATTCAGCGGAATTGGGGGGAGGGGGTTGGACTAATGACTGTTTAGATGGGCACGAGTGGTTATGGACAGATACTTGGACACGCTGAGAAATCCAAACGAAGGGTGTCAAGTTGCTAGAAGAAGCCTGGATAAGATGGCGGAAAGAGTGACAGTGGCGTAGAACTCCCCACGACGCGAAGATGAGCTATGCGGTGCTGCTCTGCTGTACGTCGCGAGGTGAACAATATCTCGTTTCCAGCTTTCCTTTTTCCCTTTTCTGCAACTTGAAGGTCTGCCGCGATGCTTTCTGATTGGTCAAGAGGCTCGCCCTTAATAAAGCGCTGTGTCACATGACTAATCCCGCTTCATAAGTATCATTAGATAATTCATTACTAATCAGCACATGACGCAACGTCAAAATTTCTACAAGAAGAGAAGAAAGTGAAGAAGAAACGCTTGAACAAGCCGCATGCTTGAGATATCTGCTGTGTAGTCGATATACGGTTAAGAAACGCAAGATGACACTGTAGGTGCCTCGTGCCATATTGTTGGATGCTGAGAAACCCCAACTAACCGACATTGAATAGCTTCAAATCCTCATATTATGACAAAGATTACCGAGCGGGCGCTGCCCTTATGCGCGCGCGACGGCCGTATATAGTGAGAAATGTAGCTACCGGTGTAGCTCTTTTCAGCTTCTGCATTGGTGTTTGTACGTCTTGCTGCTCCTTTGCAGCTCAGACCATGACACGCTAACTTGGGATATTTGATATAGACGCCTTCACCATCAGCGCTGTTGGACAGGACGATTTCTCCGATGTCAAAGTACCGGAGGCCGTACCGCGCGCAAAACAAGAGGCCAAATAGAAGCTATATATGGGACCGAGCTAGGTTCGGCCAGATCAGGCTCAATGCCACTCTCTCCTCCATCCCAATGAGCTAGATAATTGAGCCTGAAGAGCGGGAAACCGATGCGGTTTCATATTTTACGGACTCTCCCTCGCAGTGATTGATTCCCCGTGGCGCAAAGGCGTTGGTGGTTCCATTTTCCCTGGCCATGTTGGACCTAATCGTTATGCTTGAGATATGCCTGAGTGCTTCCAGACCCAGGTATTACTACATCTTCAATCTGCCGATACCCCTATGCGGCAACGTATCTTAGCGACGCTTTGGAACTACTCTAGGCATTTCTATCTGTACTATATCTAACCGATTATGCTTCTCCACTGTGAATTATATATTAATTCTTCCACCTACTTCGTTTGATACATGTCCAAACACAGCCCTGGGGCGTCACAAAATAATCCGTATTATTATCAATTATATATTAACTTAACACGATGTACCGTCAAGTGCGAGATATATAACACATAAAAGTAAAAGAAACAGTAGTATAGCTCAGGTATATAAAGTAGATATATGACAAAAGAGCCAGCCGACCAGGCAAGAAACTGCACAAAATATTCAACTAGAAGAAATTAAAAAGACAACCCAAATAATTCCCGTTTTTTTTTTCGTTCATTCGTTCGTATGCATGTCTCCATTCCATACGATGCTTCGCTCCCAAGCCTCAAGACGAAAAGACAGAGTCCCATCCGTCCGTAGGCACGCCAGGTATAAGGATGATCCATGTCAAGGCAGAACATATGGCACAAGAGAGAGAAGAGAGGAAAGGCAAGGGAGCGAGGCAAGACCAATCAAATGCTCAAGGTAATGATAGGCTAGGTAAGGTATGTAAAGGGGGGTGGTGGTAATAATATGTTGACTGAGAGGAGAACAGGGAGAAACAAAAGTAAAGATGAAGATAAGAATAATCAATTACACCAAAGGTCATATCCAGATCCCGATCCAGATGCAGGTCCACCAAGTTTATGATTCGTGTACTCCGTAGCCATGTAGCAGGGGTGAGCAAAGCAAGCAAGGGCAAGGATAAAAATAAAAGAAGAGGGAATGTTGAATGCAGGCAGAGTGAAGGTGCAAGAAAAAAAAAGAAATAACCGCCGTTGGTAGATTGGTATATGTATGACATGTATGATATAACGCCTCCCGTTCCAGATCCAGATGGTATACTATTACTTAGTATTCCGCTACCGCCGTAGGCGTATGCCCATCTTCTCAAGATCCTCTTCCATCTCCGGACCTCTTGAAGGTTTTAAAGATGGCGCAGCAGGGAAGCCAACGTATTTTGCAAACCCAGCTAATACCGAAACCTCTCGGTTATATGCTGCCTGTTGGGCAATCTGTTTGCTTAAACGGGTCGGGAAAGGGATGGTATACTCCGTCACCGCGTCTGAGGCGGAGTCGGCCAACACGCCTCCGGAGGGACCGCTCAGGCTAGGATAAGCACCAGAGCAGATTCCAGCGCCCGGATTACTTGTACCGATTCCGCCAAATCTGTCGTGTTGGACTTTATACTGGTGTTCAGACACGGCATCGAGGGCAGCTTCGCGGATCTCGCGTACGGTTTGGTAGTAGGATGAGTTGCATTGAGCTCGTTCAGCGCGGGATTTGACGCAGAGAGCTTGTAGTTTATAGGAGTGCAGGATATTTTCATGATTAATTTTAGCGGTGATATGAGATTGAATGATGGCGGCTTGGCGAAGAAATTCGGGATGGGTTGGAGTTGGAGATGAAAGCTGGGAGAGTTCTTTGTTGATGTTCGATATTCGTTCGTCGTATATTCTATTGAAAGTGGTTAAAGAAAATGCCATAAGTAGTACAATGGATGGAGAGATTGTTACCTGTCCCGTAGTGTCGCAAAATGCCGTTCGAGATCGGATAAAAGGTCAAGCGCTGTGGTTTTCTTCGTTACTGTTCCCAATAAGTCAGTTCGGTATGCGCAAAGCCTCCGCGTGGTGGTTTGAAGACTTACACTCCTCCAATTTCATTGCTACCTCTGGATCATCTCCAGCGTCTGCCACTGTCTCCTCTGCCACTTGCTCGTCCGCGGCGTCTACGCCATTGCTCTCCACCACAGACCCGGCGCGCGGTGTTGAGGTTTCGTATGTATCGTTATTGACCTTTTTACCTCGTCTTTTGTCTCTTTTCCCTTTCTTACCTCGCTTGGTTGACGGAGACAGATATGCTTCGTCCGATACCGGGCTGGGACTGGTGGGTTTCGAAGCCTCTGCGTGGTTCAGTTTCGATTTACCCATCTCATCATCACCCTCGGCTTCAGGTTCGAGATCAGCTTCGGGTTCAGCGTCGGCGTCGGCCTCGACTTCTTCCTCTTCTTCTGGCGATTGGGGAGCGGGAGGATAAGTTGACTCGTCATCTGCCGAAGGTTCGATGGCGATCGACCCACGGCGCTTACGGGCAGGCTCTTCCCCGTCTTCATCTCGGGCCACGGCCGCAAGGTCATGCGCCGAGTTCATTCTTTTGCGCTTCTTTATCAGGTTTAGTGTATCCTGTGAGCCTGATAGCTTACTGGATCTGAGCTCGCCAACCTTCTCGCCGAAAGAGTTGCCATTGCCTGTGCCGTTCGTCTTCACCGACCGCCCAGGTTTACTAGGTGACACTTCTGTGTCTTCAGCCTCTTCGTCCTCGTCATCCTCGTCATCGTTGAGCTGGTCGTATGTCGTGGACTGTGCTAGTTTGCTCGGACTGGCAAAGACGCCACCAACTCCGCTAAGGACGATACTGGCCTTGTCACGGTCACGAATGTGGTGTGGCGAGTCCTCTAAGCGCTCGGTTTCTGCCTCGGAGTCGATTTCGGATGCAAACTTTGACGGACGAGGTGAGAGGTCGTCTAGCTGGCCGTGTGAGAGTGTCTCGTCTATGTCCGAAAGGCTGCTGGAGCGAGAGTCTGAGTCTATGGCGTCTGCAAGGGAGGTAGGCATTGATCCGGCTTGAAAGCGCAGATCAATGGAAGTATTGTTTGCTAGCATTGTAGCTGCTGGTATGTATGATAGGCGGATGGCAGGTTGCGTTGATGGGCGTAGGTTCAAGGATGGGGGACAACCCGTCGGTGGCTATGCCCATGAGAAGTCAGTCAACAATCACTATCAAGGGAAACAATCTGAGCTCAAAAACTGAGAGTCACGAAAGGTCACATCATCGTATCAAACACTCTGTTCGATAGAGACAGGAACCGGGAGAAGATGTGGTAGGGCGTTCGGCTATTTGGCCACGGGCAAATTTTCCCAGCTCTTCCCCAAAGTCCATCGCAAGCCCAACGAGGCGACTGAGAGCATCACCAACAAGGTATTTCCCTTGCACATAGCCGTCTCCTGTGTCTCTCATGTATCTTCCGTCAAAAACGTACCTTTTGAACTGACAAGTTATGGCTGTGTTTTCTTTCTCCTCTCTCTGCCTCGTTTCTCTGCGGTTCCGCACGAGGGCGTCAGAGGTGGATCGCAAGCCGGCGAGGATGTGCCCCAGCGTACGAAGTTATCTCCTAAGCCCTGCTATCTCGGCAGCTGGAGGTCTATTTGAGCATAGCACAGTCGAGGTCTCATGCGTTCGCGAGGGCGGCAGACGGGCGCTGTGAGGGGGTCGTTTTTTTTCTCTGAGCTGGCCCGGTAGAGGCGAGAGTCAAGAGTGCCCAGGTTGAAGTCTGGTGCAAGGATGAAGCTGGTTCAGCAGGAGACAACAAGCTGTAGGAGAGGCCGGAGACTGCGTGAGAGCGTGTACGAGCAGCGTGAGAAAAGATATTTGCACGATGAAGAAAGATGAAGAATAAGAGAAAGCCGAAAGTTGATGCTTCTTCTCTTTTTGGTTCTTCTTCTTTTTTGCGGGTGACCTGGCCGCGTATCCTCGTGACAATCTTACGTGACGTGACGGGTGTATCAAGTGAATTTGGCGTGTGGTAAGTTTGCAGTGCGTATTCAAGGTGAAAGATACCGCTGTATCGATGTATGCGCGGTACGAAATTACAATACAGGGCGGTGGAGGTTCTGCCGCGTCGATCTGCCAGTAGCGGCCAATCAGAGCATAGGAAAGCTTCACCGCCTTGCTGAGTCATTGTACTTATATAATCATGCTTGTATAATCAGGTTCCGGAAAGTGAAGAAGAGGAGAAAAGACGAAGGCGCAAAGTGGTGAAGTAGATGCAGATACAAAGATAGAAGATGGAACTGAAGGAGACTACGAGAAAATATTACAAGAAAGATTTATATAAAAGGATGAAGAGAGCAAGAGAAAAAGAGAAAAGAATGGGAAAAAGACGGCATCATGTGACCTCGCCAAGAGCGGAATTTTATCTTTAAAAGCAATATTAAATAAAATATAAACGGTAGAGGGAAGATATCAGGACTGACACCAATTGAGCTCGTTGAAGCTCGAGATCACCTTCAATATGGGTAAGAAGGCGAAGGCGCAGTCCGTAGAGGGTGCGCCAGAGGTGGCTACCCCGGTTACTGCTTCGAGCACGGCTGGAGGATTTCCATTGGCAGCTACGAAGGTTGATCCTGGCCTTGCGGCACTGTTTGCGCAGAGTGTATGTTAAGTCTTTTTGCTGATATAGTAGTTTATACTGACTGTTGTCTAGGCTGGCCCTGTGAAAGAACCTGAATTGAAGCCTACATATAGACAGGAGAGGAAGTATAATGAAGTAGAGGAAGATGAAGATGAAGAAGAGGAAGTCGAAGACGAAGATGAAGAAGAGGAAGTCGAAGATGAAGACGGGGATGAGGAGGAAGATATAGAAATGGAGGACATGGAGGAGGAGAAAAGGTCACGCAAACGCAAGAGAGGAGCGGAAAACGAAGACCTTGAAGCTGCCTACCTACAACGTCTAGCCAGGGAAGATGACCGAGAGAGCAAGAAGGAAACTGAAAAACCCAAGCGGGTGAAGACCACGGAAGACGATAAAACAGAGGAGGAAGAGAACGAGGAAGAAGAAGTTGACGAGATACCCATGCACGAATCCCTTACGAACAAGAAAGCAGACCCCATGGACAAGGCATCCCGCACCCTCTTCCTCTCCAACGTCTCGACAGACGCCATAAAGTCGAAATCCGCCAAAAAGACACTCCTCGCACACCTTTCTTCCGTACTACCCAAGCCATCGTCTACAGATCCTGCCACCGTACATAAGGTAGAGTCTCTCCGATTCCGTTCGACCGCCTTCTCCTCCACCGCGCTACCTCGTCGAGCAGCCTATGCGAAAAAGGAGCTCATGGACTCGACTACAAAGGGCACGAACGCCTACGTGGTGTATTCTACCGTGCTGGCAGCTAAGAAAGCACTAAAGCTAAACGGCACCGTAGTGCTAGACAGACATATACGCGTCGACAGCGTCTCGAAGCCAGCGCCCACAGACCATAAACGCTGCGTCTTCGTGGGCAACCTAGGCT